TTAAAAATTTTTTTTTATATAATTTTTTTAAAATAAAAATTTTCTTGGGGGGGGGGGGGTTTATTAATCTATTTGATTTGTATCACGTGACCAAACCCTTGCAAAATCAAATTTTGACAATAAAAGCTGTTAAAATAATAAACAAGCTATATCCTCCCTCTGTTTCCCCCCCTTCTCTCCAATATTTATCAAAGAATAGAGCTCGGCAAGAGAGTTATAGTGCATTATTGTGAGTATATTACTGTAATCAAGTCTTGTAAGTTTTATCTAAAAATGGGCAAATAGCATTACCATCTCATCAGTATAGGGAAAAAAGTTCCTGACAACAATACTATCGAGCGAGATAGTGGAGTAGCACTGACTAGCCAAAAGTACTGTTCTTATCGCTTGCGTCAGCTAAGAAAAAATACTTGTTGAAAACATCACTAATCATTGGTACCGTTATTTGCACATCTTCTCTTCCTTTTAATGACATGACTGAGAATCACAATTTGTTAAATCATCAATCAAACAAGTTTGTCTAGATGTACTTCCAAACACGTTTTTGTTGTAACCGTTATTGGTATTACTATTATTACTATTACTATTATTATTGTTGTTGTTATTATTATTATTACTATTGTTGTTGTTGTTGCCGTTGTTGTTGCTGCTGCTGTTGTTACTATTATTGGAGCTTGAAGCTAATCCTTTATTGTTATCGGTTTTTTGCAATTTTGTACTTGGAAATTCCGGCTGAATTGTCACCGAATGAATTCCATATTTATGTAAAACATCACGAACTTGGGACACCACAGTAAGGAACAATTTTCTATTGATTTGTAAAGTATTAGCTCCTTCGGTTTCGTTTATGTTATCATGAGTTTTTGATGTACCACTTTGATTATGCGTCTCCGAATCAGTAGTGGTAGTAATGGCAAGCGCAGGCAAGCTAACTTCACAACTGGGTGCTAACTCAATATGCAATGATGCAATCAATATATCCTCATTGAGATTCCAAACATGGAAATCATGGACATTTTCAACTAATTTTAATTTGAGTATCTTTTTAACAATTTGGTCTGAATTGATATAGGGCGGTGTGGCTTGCAACAAGATCTTGGACGATTTACGACATAATGGTAATGCACTATTGAAAATGATAAATGTTATAATTAACGAGGTCAACGGATCAGCATGAAATCTCCATGAATAATCAGTTTTCCAAATTATCAATGCAGTAATAATGACTCCAACATTACCCAAAGCATCCCCCAATACATGCAAAAACACACCTTCCATATTCATTGATTTTCTTTTAGTTTTCTTTGCTTTGAGTTCCTCTGCGTGCTCGCTATCATCAAGGTGATCATGTTGATTGGAAGAATGATTGCTTGACTTAATATCTACCGATGCAACATCATTATCATTGTCAACTGTGGCCGAAACATACCTCTCAACAACGTTATCTGGGAAATAGTCAAACACCTGAGATGGAGTTGACTTGAAAGTGCGATTTACTGAACTTATCAAAGGAGTGGTTTCACCAAATCCTAGGGAACTTTCCTCATCATCACCATGTGGCGATGTAGCATGCGAGTGAGAGTGGGAATGGGCTTGCGAGTGGCTAGTACTGTCAATGTCGCTGGCGCCATGATGACTATGACCGCCACCGCCATGAGAGTGTGAGTGCCCGTGTTCGTGAAACAACACCAATCCAACGCCATTGCTCAATAATCCAGCTATACCCACAACCAAGATCAATTTGGGATTGGTAATCACTTGAGGTTGAAAAAATCTCAGTATAGCATCGATAATAATGGTAAAACATAAAGCAATCAAAAAAACTGCATTTATCAAGGCGCCCAATATCTCAGCTCTTTGCCACCCATAAGTGTATTTCCCATCTGCTGGTTTCGAATTCTTCATACGAACGGCCCAAAGGGCAATGATCAACGATATTATATCATTCAACATATGGAACGAGTCGGCAATTAAAGCTAAGGATTGCACAGTATATCCTATAATTACCTCAAGAAGGAAAAAAACCGTGTCTAGCACTAGTAATGCACTAATCCTAATCTCCTTGTTATTCATCTTTCACAAACCTGGAATATCTTTCCCCCCTGCCTTTGATTAACTCTTAGCCGAAAACCGAAATAGCACAAGTCTATTTGAAGAGAACCCTGTTAGACACTAGTCTTTTTCAATACCGGGGGAAAAAGACAGCTCTATAGCTCAGAAGGATGAATCAAAAACCTCGCCCAAAAAGTTTGAAAAACTTGCTAAAATCTTACCTTTATCATCAAACTAAGTTTTTTTTTTTTTGATTTTTTTTTTCCTTCTTTCCATCTTAGTATCCAATTTTTTGCTATTTATTAAACTCTTCAATAATCCTCAGTCAAGTTTTATTTTGATGTTACAGTATCAAATTTTTCTCAATAAAGTACAAGAGTAATTGTTTCAGTATGAACTAAGTTATTTAAAATCTATAGACCTAAATATTTTTACGAGTTAGGAAATTAGACGAACAATAACATTAAAAAGGGGGGAGTTTTTTCTACTGAAATGGCCTTTAGTCATTGAAAACTCTTTATTGTTGAAGATTGAAAACTCTTTTTGTTGAACATTGACACCTCTTTATTCTGTTGACTGTTGAACATTGACAAAACAGATGGAGCGACTTCTTTTATTACCAACTTGTATATCTGTTTGTATACCTTGTTTGTGTACCTTGTTTATATGATCAACATTTTAATGTTTACTAAATTTTTCTCCTTGACTAGACCGTTTTCGCATATTCAAAATTGTAGATTGTTCTTTTTTTAGACCTTTGTTAAGGTAAGAAACGTTTCTAATACATTTAAACAATGTAACTAAAAAAAAACCAGTTACAACAACTATAGCTCCTATTTGCAACAGCTCCTATTTGCAACAGCTCCTATTTGCAACAGCTCCTATTTGCAACAGCTCCTATTTGCAACAGCTCCTATTTGCAACAGCTCCTATTTGCAACAGCTCCTATTTCCTACAAGCTCCTATTTGCTACAGCTCCAAGCTCCTTTATGCTACATTAGAGCTAAAAAATGCTACGCAAATAATCTCATTTCTAATACAAGCAAGAACATCAAAAAGTCACATTTTTAAATTTCGTCCAAGGTTAATACAGCATACAAAGATTGATACTCCTCCTCCTCCTCCTCCTCCTCCTCCTCCTCCTTCTCTTCCTTCTCCTCCTTCTCTTTCTCCTCCTCTTCCTTCCCCTCCTCCTCCTCCTCCTTCCCCTCCTCCTCCTCTTCCTTCTCCTCTTCCACCTACGAAGCATCAAAAGAATTCAAATATGTTAGCACGTGCAACGGATTAACTCATGATTTGGACTGCTCTAATCACCACCACCACCCAGTAAATATAGTTGGTTTGTGGTCATTAATACGCCTTATATCCAAAAAAAAATATACACAAGCACCTGGCTAAAACCACAAACTTTTGTGTGGTTCAGTGAAAGACGAGAATTGAAATGTAATAAAACATGGCGTTGAAATAATTTAACAAAAAAAAAAGCACCTAAGCACCTAAGCACCCAAGCACCTAAGCACCTAAGCACCCAAGCACCCAAGCACCCAAGCACCCAAGCACCCAAGCACCCAAGCACCCAAGCACCCAAGCACCCAAGCACCCAAGCACCCCCTACTTTGATGAGCTTAGCAACTCATTAAAGCTAATCTTCTGTCCTTCTTGTTGTGGTTGTAATTGTTGCTGGTGCGGCATCATGGGAGGAGCAGTAACATAATGCGAAAATATTGGTGGCTGCTGAAGCGGATACGCGCCAGGGAAAATCGGGTTTGGTTGTTGATGAGCAGGATAAGAAATAAAACCATTAGGGTTAACTTGATAAGCAAATCCCGGTTGGACAAAGCCTGAAGCTGAAGAATACGCATGAGGAAATTGCTGGGGATTTGGCTGTATTTGTGGTTGAAGACTACCCGGAGGGTACGCAGTGACTGGATTGACTAGTGGCGCTGGTTGTTGTAGTGAAAAGGAGGAGTTGGTGGTAGAGGTGGAGGAGAATGATGGTGCGGGTGCAGGTGCGGGTGCAGGTGCGGGTGCAGATGTTGCAGATGTTGCATTCTTCTCTCTAATTGCGACAACTTCACCTGATGAATGCAAAGTATCAGAACTTGAAGCTAACGAAACTAAATCACTAAAACTTTTAGATAGCTCATCCCCTTTGTCCCTTGAATCCATTTGCTTTGGCGATGTTGCTTTGAATTTCGGTTTTGGCAAATTTAAAGCTGCTGGTGAAGAATGGAAAGAAGATCCCGCATAGGTGATTGGACCCGCTGCACCAACATTTTTCTCCCCCTTTACCGCTTTGATAGTGTTCTCCTTTAATGATTTGTTGTTTTCCTTTGACTTATTATTGTTATTATTATTTCCCTTTTTCGATTTCAAATTTGACTCATTATAGAAATTTGGTTTCTCGCCACTAGGTAAAGAGATCTCCGACTTGGGTGTATCTCTTTGTTTGCTTAACCTCGATGTTTTATTCTTCGATGATTGGTCTCTTGAACCTTGAAAGTTTGGCTTTTCACCATTAGGCAATGATGGCAATAACGATAACTTTATAGAAGCTTTCTTTGCATTGCTGTTCTTATTCTTGCTATTGCTATTGCTATTGCTGTTACCAAAATCGACAGGAGCCCCACTTGGAAGTAGTCTGATCTCATTATTATCTAATTGTTCCTTCTTAACATTTGGGTTTCTTAAAGTATTCTGAAACAGAGCGCTGTTTTCATTTATATGTATTGGTACTGATAATTCGTGTGCCATCATTGTGAGGTTTTTGCTGTGCCTTTGCCTCTACTATTTGTGCCTCTACTATTTGTGCCTTTGACTCTGCTATTTGTGGCTATTTGTCCTACTATTTGAGCCTTTGCCTCTACTATTTAAGCCTTTGCCTCTACTATTTGTGCCTTTGTTTCTACTATTTATGCCAATTTGTGTGTATTTGGTTCTTTTTTCTTCTGTATATATCTAATGTAGAATAATCTCCTTGAAAATAAACTGCTTTTGAACTTTTATATATCGAATAGTAGGCAGTATACTCATGTGTACTCTATGAAGAACAAAGAAAAATTAAAAGTGCAATTACTATAGAGAAATTTGTTTCAAAGTGTTTCTTCTTTTCCTGCTCGCTTTTCTCTCTCTCTCTCTCTCTCTCTCCCTTGCTCTCGCTTCTTTGTTGCTCGCGGTTCGCCTTTGCTGTCGTTTGCACCACTCCTAAAAGAAAAAATAAAAAATGTCTCTATTATATATTGATGTATGGATATCACACGTGCATCTCTTCTCTATATAAAAAACTGTCGTGGGTGCTATTAGCTTGCTAGATGATTACAATTGGCAGCGCTGTCCATAGGTTACCTTATGGAAAGTATTGAAGATACTCTATTGACGGTGGCAGCTGGTGTCGAAGATACTCTATTGACGGTGGTAGCTAGTCTCGATGGTGTCCATTCTTATTGTATGGAAAGTATCGAGGATAGTCCAATGACAACGATTCCCACGATGCACCAGGTCATTACGAGGCTCGCACTTCCACCAAAAGATACGGCGCTCCCGTACATGGACAATGCAACAACCGTGAGAAACCCACTGGTCATTGCCATTGTAGTGCCAAAGATAAAGTCTAAACGGTTCAAGTCACGTTTATGCGAGTTGAACTTGAGAAATAAATATCCCATTAGTGCGCCCATGGGTTGCGAAAGGCCTCCTAATATTGAGCTTATTGCAACAGCCTTAATTTTGGCATATTTGGATGTTTTTGACATGGAATAGTATAACGGTAAACACATTGAAAACCCTTCAGTGAAGTTATGAAGTATAAGACTAATGAAAATAGATACTCCCAAATTTGGATTCGCCTCTGATGTCACATATGTAATAAAACCTTCTGGCAATTTATGAAGTGTGATCGCCAAAGTTGTTTGGATACCTATCAAGAGTAACCTAGATAATGGGGAATTGACATGATGATGGTGATCGGCTTCATGCAGGTGGTGCAGTTGATTCAGTGGGTACAAGTGATTGTAGCTGCGGCTGCGATTGGGGTGGTGATAGTAATGTGTAAGTGTCTCGTAGGACGGCCTTTCCAATGTTTCTGCTCTCATCTCTTCATGATCAGCTGCTTCGTTAGAACAATGATCACTGGTCAACTCAGGTAATTCACAGTAGTGAAGTACATGTTCTTGTCCATGTTCGTGATTAAAATGCTCACATCTTTCTGCTGACGAATAACCCTTACATTCACCCGCAGAATCTTCTTTATCAAGATGGGTGAGAAACAATCCCATTAATGATTTCCTCGCCTTTAACGATTTTCTAATTAATGGGGTAGTTTCGTGAATTTGCAGCTCCAAATGCGATGCATTCAGTTTATGGGGTTGGTAATGGTAATGGCTCTCTTGAACTAAATCATCCGGAAATTTTGATTGTTGTTGTTGCTGCTGCTTATGTTGATCACGCATTTCGGATTCTGACAACTGAGGATAACCACGATAATGGCCAACCACTTCTACCACTTCTGCTTCGTCTGGTTCTTCTTCTTCTTCTTCTTCTTCTTCTTCTTCTTCTTCTTCTTCTTCTTCTCTGTCTCCTCCTTCGTTATCACCATCATAATGGTCGTGACCGTGTTCGTCTTCTTCAACGTGAATGTCGTTACCATGATTGCAATGCACTATACTTTCACTAGTCAACATATGCAACACAATATTGAATACGGAACAAATTGTAATCCCACCAAAATAACTCACCATCAAATACAATTGCAACATTCTTTTCGTGCTCTTTGGAATGACTGACGGACCGTCTTCCTTTTCATCCATAATCAGTCTCTCAAAATACTTTGTTGCTTCTGGTAGCAACTTGTACAAGGAAGTAAAAATCAAGCAACCAGAACTTAACGCCAATGATCCATTGAGAAACGAGTAGTTTTCTTTTAAATGGAATGGATACCTTGAGGTAATAAATTTGGGAAAAACAAAGTAATAAAAGTTATCAAAATAGATGATCAAAGTGCCTGAAACACATAAAACCGACGACAACAAGGTCAAAAGCCATCCTTGAGATGATGGTAATAAATACGTAAGCTGTGACATAATCTCTTTACTTTCGCCCACCAACCTTTACACCTAACCAAACCTTATCAGCTAACCTTTACACCTAACCAGACCTTATCAACTAACCTTTACACCTAACCAAATCTTATCAACTAACCTTTACACCTAACCAAACCTTATCAGCTAACCTTTACACCTAACCAAACCTTAAATATTGGCCGTTGATGAGCAAACTCTCAACGCTTATATCGCTCCTATGCTTGATGAACAGATGGTTGAATGCCAAAACAAAAAAGAAAGGAATGAAATTTGGATCCAGGAAAAGAAAATTCAAGGAAGCTCTTTATACTTGGAAATTGATACTGTGAGTTTGTGTTCCTGCTATTCGAATAACAGCAAAGCCCATGGATAAATGTTTTAAACAATTAGAGTAAAGGATGAAACTCTATTGTATAATTAGAATTTTTTGCCATAATGCAACCTTGGTAGTGTCACATATAAAAGATAACAAATGAAGTCGCGAAAAAAAGGCCAGAAGGAAAAATGTCAAACCCGTGTGTATCTCATCTCATCTCATCTCATCTCATCTCATCTCATCTCTGAGCAAGAGATGTTGTTGAGTATTAGCAGCGTTTTAAGGAAATCCAGGAGGATTTTGAAAAGTTTCTTTTTGTATTATCTTCTGTGTCATCCAAATCATCCATGGAGACGTGAAACATGCACTATCGAGTGAAGCGAGATAGTGTAACAGGACACAGAATTCAGGATACAGGATACAGGATAAAGCCTATTTTATTTTTCAAGTAGTAATTAGTGATGGTTGTAGAGTATTTGCAGGTTATGCTTGACTGATATAGTAGCCTCTCTGTCCCTTTTTCTATCCCTTTGTCCCTTTTGTTCACTACCCTCAAATAATATCACCATCAAACATGTATTACTATCTACTATCGAGCAGAGCGAGATAGTGGAGCAACACTTGTAACATTTATCAAAAGGTTCAACACATACTCTATAAACAAAGTTGATTCAGCATCCTAGAACATATACCTAAGTCTCCCCTAAAACACATACACAATCTCCCCTCATCACATATACCTTAGTCTCCCCAAAAACACATACACAGTCTCCCCTCATCACATATACCTTAGTCTCCCCTAAAACACATACACATACACATACATTAGTATCTCCCGTCAGTGCTGCTCCACTATCTCACTTTGCTCGATAGTGTCGCTCAATAGTGTCAGTGAGTGCTGCTCCACTATCTCGCTTTGCTCGATTGTGTCGCTCGATAGTGTCAGTCAGTGCTGCTCCACTATCTCGCTTTGCTCGATAGTGTCGCTCGCTAGTGTCGCTCGCTAGTGTAGCACAGTCCCTAATCATTCTTGGTTTCGCCAAGATCCATAGTGCTCATAGGCAAAGCCTCATAATCCTTCTTCTTTTTCAGCACAAAGGGAATTCTTCTGTGTGTAGTTCTCTCCCTTGCAAACTTTCTCTTCTTGACCTTACTTAGATCAACTTTGTTTATAGTGACAAAAATCCACATCCCAAAAGCAGCAATAATCACACACATGGGCAATGTAATTATAGTCATATATTTTTCATAATCAATACCTTCCTCAATTTCAATACCCATGTGTCGATTTTTATACTTTTCATCCAATTTCTTTAAATCAACTAGATGTTCTTTGTTCACAACCACACCTTTGGAAAATTCCACAACAACGGGATTACTTAAAACATTAAACTCTTCATCAGGAATATTGTCTGGTTGAATGGAAATCAAAACCTTCTTTTCATATTTGTTACCAATCCATTCTTCAAGTATAGTCAATGGATAAAATCCCTCTTCGTTTGAAATCCAGTCCGACACAAAAAACGATTCCTGCACTTTTCCTCCGTACTCAAGAACCTTCGATCTCTTGTCAAAGGGGGTATAGTCGATTATATCATTGTCATTCTCGTCCTCCTCATCCTCCACCTCTTCCTCATCCCCAAGCAAGTTTCTCTTCCTGAAACCCTTTTGTTTGTAACTTTCCTTAACATTGTTCAAGTGTATTCTCACCTTTTCAACCAGAGGATCAAAGAACCTCGAGTACCAGGTTACAAAATATGTCTTGTCTTTTATCAATCTCTCATCGTCCTTAGGAGTACAAAATGGTTCAGTAGATTTATCCTTTGCCAAGCCTGTCTTTTTATATCTCTCTGGGGTACATCTTATCAAAGGGTTCAATAAATGGTCCTCCAAATCGGCTTCCTCAATATGGATAACTTCTGTAAACAACTCATCTTCTTTCATATTATGAGCCTTCAATTCTTCTTTGTTGTAAACCTTTGTTACCGCAGTTTGGAAGTATGTGCTGTAATCGGGACGCCCCTTTTTCGTCCTTCCATTTTTCAATTCTGGTTTAATCACTTTTGGAGATCCATCGTTCTTCAATGAAACCCAAACTTCTAATCCATCAGTTGTTTTTGGTGGTTTGGCACTGATGGTAATGCCCGCAATAACCGTTGGGTGCACAATCTCTGTTCTACCGTTAACAGTTCGCACCCAGTTACTAGGAGGTTTATCCGAAGACGTTGTTGCTGTCTTTGCAGCTTGATTTTTGGCATAGTCCTTATTGATGATTACATCTTTGATACGTTTATCCAAGTGGTGCTCTCTTGGTTCTAACAAACTAGAAACCGTCGGAGAAGGTTCCGGGGTTTGTTCTGCAAGTGATAACGTTACAGCGTACACGTGAGACAATAAACTTAAGCCTATTAGCTTTGTAAAGAGCTTCATTTTGGGGGCTAATTTCTAATGATGTTTATTCAATTGATCAATAATGGATACCAACAAAAGCTCATCTCCCATATACAATGCGCGCTTTTTCTCGAAATGTAAGAAGAAAAATTGTTAGCGCGCTCCTACAAAATTTAATAGCCGAGCAGCAAGACTATCGACGCTATCGGCACTATCCACACTATCGACACTATCGAGCAGAGCGAGATAGTGGAGCAGCACAGACTAGCTGCCACCGAAACTTAGTAGCTTGTTGCAACACTATCTCGCTCTGCTCGATAGTGTTGTTCGATAGTGTTGTTCGATAGTGTTGTTCGATTGACCATCTCTATCAAATAGCGAGGACCAGTCCTCAATAGAGAGTTTACAAAGGTTACCTTGTTCACTTGTAGTCTGTGACATCTAGAGATTGATCATCATGAGGTCCCATATCAAGGTCACGTGAAAATCACCAAAATAGAGATTGTTCTAGTAGTCACAGTAACATTAAGTTCCAATGACGATACAAGTTACAAAGTGCTGCTCGATAGTGACAGCTAGTCAGTGCTGCTCCCCTCTCACGTTACTCGATAGTGACAACTAGTCAGTGCTGCTCCATTATCTCGCTCTGCTTGATAGTAACAGCTAGTAGTGCTGGTCCTCTCTCACTTTACTCGATAGTGTATGTCAGTTACTCTGAGAAAGATAATAAACTCTATTGGCATTTATATAGTAAGGAAATGCACAAAGATATCTAACCAGTATGAACCAAGTTTCTTATTCTATGGCAAAAAAAATTCCATCATTAATTCCATCAAAGGTAAAAGGAAAAAATGAAACTATGCTAAGATTGCCAAATTCTGTTATATCTCCAAGGGTGAAAGAAGAAAGAGGGAATATAGAATGTTGAAGCTGTCTTCTATATATTCACTATAAATATCTTACTATGAACAACCTCGAATCACTCTTCAAGAAGAAGAGATGAGCTTTCCAAAAGAGACGAGCTTTCCAAAAAAAACGAGCTTTTGAAAAGAGATGAGCTTTCCAAAATGGAAATTTTTTTCTCTCAATTTTTCTTTTTGGAAAGAAAAAATGTACCAAGGTACACACATTCGCTGGAGGGGTGATAAGACCATATAAAGGTAGAAATTGAGTAGGAATTGAGTAGAAATTGAGTAGGAATTGAGTAGGAATTGAGTAGGAATTGAGTAGGAATTGAGTAGGAATTGGGTAGAAATTGAGTAGAAATTGAGTAGGAATTGAGTAGGAATTGAGTAGGAATTGGGTAGAAATTGAGTAGAAATTGAGTAGGAATTGAGTAGGAATTGAGTAGGAATTGGGTAGAAATTGAGTAGAAATTGAGTAGGAATTGAGTAGGAATTGAGTAGGAATTGAGTAGGAATTGAGTAGGAATTGGAGATGCGATTAAGACGAGATGTGGTACAGTTTTGGTAAATGTAGCTAATATCTGATAAAGCCTGTCCAAAAGAGAATCTCGTTGTACAAACTAGGAACCTCTATTGTCTCTGGTTTTTTAACCAGAGGCAAAGAGAGCTCCAAGTGTTTAATCTTTTGCAAGATATTTTGAACAAATGCATTATCCTTTTTAGAATCCAAAAAATTGAAAATAAACCGGTCTGGTAATTCTTTGCAAGTGAGACAATACATATATGCAAGTAGTAGTATATCGCATGTAGAAGGTAAGGCTCCAAACAAATATCCACCACTGCCACCATTGTTGGAATTTTCTCCCCATAAAGATTGCAATTTTTTCAACAGTTTATCAATTATCATCAAGCACCTCATACAATTGCTCGATTCTCGTACCATTTCTTTCGTTTGCGATTTTTGCAGTAAAAATCTCTTGTGCAACTCACTTATCCCTTCAGTTTGAAAATCCTTATTCATAGAATAGTCTCGTATTTCATCATCATCATCAAAATCATCATCAAACCCTTGTGTTTTGGAGAAATTGAAAAAGGATGACTTTTCCTTATCCAAACCTAATAATTTCACTCTCTCTTGGGCGCACTTGTAAAGCCTTAAAGATTGATTATACATCATTGGAAACGGATAATACCTAGCAACCAATTTCCTGGTATACTGCTCGTAATTTGTCCTGTTTGAATAAAGATTATACTGGTGTATAATGTCAAGTGTGTTTTCCAAATGGCAAATCACGCTATCATCAAGGAAAGCCTCTCTACTAGATAGCCGCTGTAACTGCGTTTCTGGCCCGTTTTTACTTATCAAATACGAACATATTTGCTTATATCCGCTAAACTTGATTTCCCCATCAATCAAAACTGGTAATTCTCCAATGGGTGACAAATTGGTATTATTAGATACAACCACATCAATGTCAATGCCTTTCAGCTTTGACACCAAATCCGCAATCCACACGGCAGCAATACATGCCGGCGAAATCACTGAGACTTGCTCTGTATCTCCCCAAACATGTAGCTTCAACATTACTACTATTCCTTTCAAAGAGTAGTGTGCCAATGTCGCAAGTTTTCCATCTTGACATTTTTTTTTTTTTTCTCTTTGAATTTTCTTCTTGCTTCTTTCGCCCATTCCAATCTTTATACATGGTGATTGTTGAAGAGCTGGTATAAAGAAGGTATCAAATACTCAGGATTTCTCTGCTGCTGTCTCTCGAGATTTTTTTTTTTTAAAAAAGAAGAAGAAGAAGAAGGACTTTGTTAAAAGGCGGAGGATTAATGAGTACTCAAGTTTTCATACCCAAAAGCAAGGTTAAGAAATTGTCTCTTGATAAGATAACCCAATTGGAAGAGGATTTGGAAGAGAATCCGTTAGACTACGGGAAATGGATCAAACTATTAGACCAGATTTTGAATAAGGATAACCAAGAGCAAGTTCGGAGAACTTTTGATAAATATTTGGAGCGTTTCAAATTTGATGTATGTGCAAAAAAACAATCATGAATTCTTTAAAGCTGCTAGTTTTGTTTTTTTTTTTTTGGAAGAAAAGAGACTTGTTACCCTTTGGACCTGAAATCCAGAACCCTACCGTCCGTTGCTGCCACTGCTGCTATTATGACACGCGGGGCGGTAATTATGGCGGCGGTGGCGGTGGTGGAGAAACCCCTTACCTGTATATATTGCTTAATTCATAATAATGGGCCTGTTAAAATCCAAGTCCCAACTTACGAGCTTCTCTCTTCAACCACAGAACTAGTAGAGCTATTTTGTTGTTTATCAGTTTACTAACCTGTTATTTGTTGTATTTTTTTTAATTTTTTAGGGTGCTCAATGGATTAGATACATAAAATATGAACTTAGCAGAGGGGAGAAGGAAAAAGCCGAAACGCTTTTCCAAAAATGTTTTGCAACGACAGAAAGCGTCGAATTATGCCGTTTGTACGTTGACTATGTGAGAAGTATTTCCGATTTCGTCACAGGCGGCGACAAAGCACGTACAACAGTTGTCCAGGCATTTGAGTTTGCAATAAACAAGGTTGGTATTGATTTTAGAAGCGATGAGTTGTGGCAGGATTATATCAACTTTATTAAATCTTGGACACCCCAAGCGAATTGGGAACAGCAGCAAAAGATTGACTTGATTCGAAAAGTATATAAGAAATTCCTTGTTGTGCCCACGGAAAATATAGAGTCTGTTTGGACACAATATACAAAATGGGAAAACGAGCTCAACTCTGCAACGGCACAAAAGTTTGTGTCGGAGAAAGCCGCTGAATTCATGTTGGCGCGTTCATTCAATACAGAGTGGCGGCAGGTGACAAACAATAAAAAGTTGAAATGGACAATTAATCTGCAAACAATAAAGGACGAGTCGGTGCAACAGCAAGCAAAGTACTGGGCTAATTGGATTCAATTAGAAAAGAAAAACCCCTTAGAGTTGAAAGATGAGAGTGCTCTTCAAAGTCGTGTAAATTATGTTTACAAGCAAGCTACGTATGCTCTACCATTTGTCCCTCAATTGTGGTTCGAATATGTAAAATACTTGTTGAACAACAACGAAGAAGGCAATCTAGGCGATTGTATTTCGATCTTAAAAAGTGGTCTCACCATAAATCCTCAAAGCTTACTTCTCTCGTTTCAATTAGCTGAGTTGTATGAAAAAGACAATTCCTTTGATAAGGCAAAGGTGATTTTCAACAACTTGATATCAAACTTGACTAAGGATTTCGAAAAAGTATCCACAAATTTGAAGGAGTTGAACGAGCGACTCAAACCGAAACTGCAATCGGGAGAAGATGATGGTAGTGACAATAGTGACAATGATGATGGAAAGGGGAACAGAAATGGAGAAGACAATGATAACTCGGAAAAAGGAGGTGAGATGATGAAGGAGGCAAGTACTAACAACGGACAACTGAATGGCCGTGGAATTGCAAGTCTACCGAGCCTACCAAAATTGGGGAAAAATATGACTATAAACTCTTCTTCGGGCACCAATACCAGTGCCCCCGCTAGTCTTCCAAGTCTACCTAAGATACCCAATCAGCAAAGCAATGGAGTTTCTATGGCAGACTTGAGGCAACTTCAAATGCTCGAAAGAAAACAGAAACGCTTAATTGACAAAATTACGCTCATCTACAGCAAGCTCATGATTGCAAGCAAGAGGGCGGAAGGGATCAAAGAGGCTCGGAATGTGTTTAAAAACGCTCGTAAGCTTCCTTCAATAGGATACCAAATATTTATTGAGAGTGCGTTGCTTGAACATTATGCAGACAACATAAAGACGGCTATTAAGGTGTTTGACGTTGGTCTCAAAAGTTCTGCTACAAACGGCGAGTTTCTTTCCAAGTATTTGGATTATTTGATCATGATAAACGATGTGGATAGGTTAAGAAGCACTATTCAAAATGCAGACACTAACTTTTCAAAAGAATTGTCGCAATTAAAAGAAGGGATTAAAGAAGAAGAGTTAGATCCACTTTTGAAAAAAGAAAAGGAGAAAAAACTACGCTTGAAAAAACGACAGTTGAAGGGCCTTTATAAGAAATACATTTCGTTTGCAGCAACCAATCTCTCTTTAGATATCACCAACAGTTTTGCCAAGAAGTGTGAACAGTTGTTTCCTGATGATGATCCTGTTGACTTATTCACAGATAGGTATAAATTGGGCAAGTTGAACATTATTAAAGCAGACGAGTTGAATGAAGATGCATATGACTTTGAGGATGAGGATGAGGATGACTTCCCTCTGTTGAAGAGACGGAGAATTGCTGCTTCCAGTATAGGTGCAGAAGAATCAAGATTGGCCGTTACTAGTATTCAAGAGTCAAGTCGTATTGAGCAAGAAACAGCAGAGCAAGAGAGAGATGCCAAAGCCGATAGCTCAACTGCTTTTGTGGGGCCTTCCATCTTGACCCTCATGACGGTCTTGCCAAACGCTTCATACTTTGGTCTTCCCTCTGAAAATGTGTTTAATAGCGAAAAATTGGTTACACTTTTTGCAAACTTACCAAATATACTGTAATTAAAAAAAAAAACCGAATATAATATAAACTTTGTTGGTAATTGTATACCTACAGATTGTGTGTTATTATTTTGTCCTCTTAAACAAAACTGTATTCGTGCGCTACCTTGTGTATACCATATTCTTTTTTTTTTTTTTGGCTGCGAAAAAAAAAGAAATAAAAAGAATAAGAAAACATTAAAGAAATCTAATGGCTCTTTTCAACATCTCAAAAATGTAGAAATAAAGATTCAAACGAAATCAACAATTCAAGAGCTTATAAGTCACTCTGTAGAAGGTTACTACAAGTAAATTGAAAAAGTACACTATTGTTATTGTTTTCCTCTATCTCTTTCACCAAGTCTTTCAACTTTATTGATGAATATCTTTTCTAATGGACTTGCAACCTCCTTTTTCAAGCATAGTGGTAAATGGTTATCGACTCCATACGAATATCCTACAAAACCATACTTGCAACTAGCATTTACCTTGAGGAATATATTGATATGGTTACTAATTATTAACATCACCAATTACTATATCTTATCTGTCAAATTGTACTTTGGCGATATCGATGTTGTTGCAGTACTCGCCAATACAAATCGTCCCTATGCTACTCAATATCTGGAGCAAGTGAGTAAAAGCTTGGAAGACATCTTGATTAACATATACGTAAGGAACGAAGCAATATATTTGGATAACATGAATTACACGACAATTACTGTAACCCCTACTTTTGAGATCAGAGATGGGAGCATACTGTCAAATCTACAGGAAGGGTTTTTCACCAATGTGCTATTTAAAGATACCGACAAGAGCAAAATCCACACATCCATCAAACAAAAGCTTCCCGATCGATTTCCAGCATTTCATGTGGGACGAAATAGAGCTATATCCGAGGAATTTCTTATAACACATTTAGGAAGACTATATTTAGGATCTATCAATGCCCCTCACACTGTTAACCAGGTGAGTCAAACATTACAGCATATGCTGGTGGCAAAATTTGGCATGTTTATCATTTCAATTGTTATACTTGTGCTCAACTTATCCATCTTTTTCTACCCAAAAGTTCTAGTTTGGCACTATGGCAGCCTTTTTGTGCTATATACGGTGAATTTTACAAACTTGGCTTTCATATTGGTCATTATTATTACCAGGCAGCTGCTAACTAGAAATAGGGACTACCAATTTGTATTACTCATGCTTGAAATGGTTTCAATATTAGCTTTTAATATGATATTCTTCAACTCGCATCAGGTCATAATGGAGAACTACCTTATGGAGGTTTCAGCCACATCCTCAGTGTACTCCGACACAGATGTTAAGTCAATGCATACTAAACAAGATACAGAGTATCAACTTTCTACTGGTGACGGACTTTCTGGTCGCACTGCAACAAAAAATTTAGCTGTTCCAAAAAAGGGATCTCCCGTAGGAGATTGCTTCGATAACGAGGCTGGAAGTAGACGATGCTTTACAGCTCCAATCAAAAGTTCCACTAATCTGTCATATTTAAGCGGGAAATTAACATCAAACTATACACAAAAATTTTGAAAGAAGAAAGAACCAAAAAAAAAAAAAAAAAAAAAAAAAAAAAAAAATCAAATGNAAAAAAAAAAAAAAAAAAAAAAAAAAAAAAAAAAAAAAAAAAAAAAAAAAAAACACAATGCATCCTCCAGAAATGATAAAATTCCAAGAGCTATCGTCTCACTAAATTCTTTGTTTAGTTTCTTGTGTCAAAGAACTCTTCAATAGACGGTTTAAAAGGCCATCTCTCATATGCACTTGCAATAGCAAGAGCATCATCTGTGGTGAATTCAAATGCACTCTTGTTTAAAAGTTCCTGTGATAAGTACCTAGACATATATTCAGCACCCGGCGCTAATTTGGGTAACAATTCTCCAAGAGTAACCTTGGTGCAATAAAACTGCAGTAAAAGATGTTCAATAGGTTCAATCGAGTCGATAGTGTACTTACCAGGAATAAACTCAACTAGTGCCAATTCTTTTGCTCTCAATCTTGCCGACTTTTCTATTACAACAGGTTGGTCCCTAACTAAGAGCCTGGGATCGTAGCCTTCTCCAATAACTCCATCACATCCGATACCAATCAACCTTGATTCTGTAAAAAAGTCTCTTTTTAAGGCTGTACGGTTTCTTTTCCTCCAACCTGGCAAAGCTAAAAATTTCCTGGCCGATTCTGATGGAATAAACAATAACATTCGTACGTTTCCATACTTCATAAACCAATTTCTATTCCCACAACATCCAAGCCATTGAGCTACTATGAACTCGCTGTCCGGATTGGACCAGTTGGCGACAATAAGTAGTTCATCGTGTACTTTATCGCGGGGCTGGACATTTATTGGTGGTATCAAGTTATTCTGATAGAGGTAGTCTATTGTGTTCCATCTGAAAGGATCGTGATTACAGAGCTTGAAATTTTCCACATTCCCAGTGACATTTTGTAAATGTTCTATTTTGGATTTCCAGCCTTTTAAAGACTCTTCCGTTCTCTCTAGCAAAATATGGTTCCTTGGCTTCAACTCGAAATTGAGCATAGAAGAAAATAACCCGAATCCAGGGTTGGCATCAATAATATCGAGTTTGGATCTCTTGTATTTGTCTTGTAAATTGAGCTTATCTAGTAGTTTTTGGCATGAATTTTGCGAGATCAACTGCGTTTTCCCATATACAGATCTCGGCACCTGAGTATAAAACTCCTTTAATGCAGGATTTACAGATCGAAGAGCTACGCTGCTACTCATACCGCCAAAAAGAAACAACAAGTCAAGTTGGAACGTATAGACATACACACACCATGCAAGTTTGATGTTTTCAAAGTTGAAAAATTTATCAAGTCTCTGCTACCTTTTTCATTCTTTTTTTTTTTTCACTAAGGAAAAAGAGGCATTGGAATTTATTAGATCTCTTGTACTGTTTGGAAAAACATAGACTGGATCAAAAGACCGACAAACTCAGGTCCTCCTGACTACATTTGACCATGTGTCTTGAATCAAAAAGACCGACAAACTCAGGTCTTCCTGACTACATTTGACCATATGTCTTGAATCAAAAAGACCGACAAACTTAGGTCTTCCTGACTATATTTGACCATAAGTCTTGGTTCAATAAACCAACAAGAATATCACTAATGATACAAATAATACAAATACTATAAAAAAATCTATTAACTAATTGCTGAATACAACTGTTGGAACTAAAACATTTTTGCAAAGACAATTGAAAAAAAAAGCCAAACCAAAAGATGAAAATAAAATAAGATAAGATAAAAGTATTTTTTTGTTCTGTTCTGTTCTGTTCTGTTCTGTTCTGTTCCTTTTGTTTTTTATTCAAAATTGGCAGGTACCGAGTCTTCTGTACCTGCTATTGTTGAACTTCCAAGTAATGGACTGTCCACTTGCTCACCGTTATCGATTTTCTCTAGTTTGGTCTCTATTGGCTGCTTTATGGCCGTAGAGGGAACTAGCAGGTGCAATCCAAATATCTCATCAAAGCCTGTAAAATCTAAAAGTTTCTTCATTTCATCTTCAGGAAGATTCCATAACAACTCTTTTATTTTCTGGATAGTAATCCGTTCGAGCGTAGCAGCATCTTGGTAAACAATTGAGCCTTCTTCGTTGTAAATTTTGGCATTGCTATACATAAGATGCAAGTCTTCTAAGAACTCCCGTATTATGGTGTAAGTATTTGCTGCAGCTCGTTTCTTAATTATATCGAGAGCAATCGGATGTTTTATCAATACGTAGTAATCGGGGTAAAATGATTTAGAAGGTTTGACCATGAACAAATCACTTAGCCTTCTATCATGTTCATTTTTGTAGTTAGTGATTAACCCTAAAATGCTCTCAATATTGTTTTGAAGTCGAGCTCTCTCGTCAGGAGATAAGGGGTCAACCACCGGCGTTGATCGTGAAAACACAGAACCTCGTCCTCGTCCTCGTCCTCGTCCTCTTCCGCGACCACGTCCTCTACCCCTGGTACCTGTGGTAACTACCGCTGATGTCTCAGTAGTTTTTTGTTTCTTTTGAACAGGTACATCCTCAGAATCGTCACCAGAAGCTCTTTTTGTTGGAGCATCATTTTCATTGAGACTTCCATCGTCTTTGTATGCAGCAGAAGCCTTGTTTTTAGCGGGACGTCCTCTCTTGCGCACTTGAACTTTACTTACTTTTACATTCGAGCCCTCACTGTCACTAGATGAATCACTCTCCTCATCGTCATCATCATCGTCGTTATTGTTGTTATTGTTGTCTTTATCATCACTGCCTTCATTGTCATCAGATACCATTCCGTCAATTTGTTGTAACCACTGCTCCTCAGTCAAATTGTCATCATACTTGGTAGCCTTTCTTTCTCGAGCGCCACGACCATACTCTTCTGTTAAAAGGTCATCTTTCTTAAGTACTTCCTCGGGGTCCTTCTTATAAACACCAGGTAATTCTTGCTCAGAAAACAATCTCGATGGATAACTAGCATTTTTTGTTGCCAAGGCTCTCTCTTCATCAAGTCTTTTAAATACATCAAGCTCATTCTCATTACGAGCAATGATTTGATTAAGCTCATCGTCATCCAAGTCTTCATCTTCAGCTTCACTGCCCTTTTGTCTACGTTCGTCTTCTTTTTCTAATAAAGCCCTCAACATTGCTTCTTGTTCTTCTGCGGTAGATTTGTTGTCAAATTTACCAGCTTGAATCACTTTCCCGTCAATTTCCAATTTTGCATGTGCTCTCTCTAAAATCATTTCCTCGACAGAATCTTCGGTAATCAACCTCAATATCCTCACTTCATTCTTCTGTCCAATTCTGTGCGCTCTATCCTGAGCTTGTAAATCTTGATGAGGATTCCAATCCGTATCAAAAATAATAACTGTATCCGCCGTTTGCAAATTCAAACCCAATCCACCAGCTCGGGTAGATAAAAGGAAACAAAAATAGTCAGAGTCTGGTGCATTAAAAAGTTTCAACAACTCTGTTCTATCGTCAGCCTTTGTGCCACCATCCAATCTCATATACTTTAGTCCGCGAAGTCTTAAGAAATCTTCCATAATATCCATGACTTGAGTCATTTGGAAAAATATCAACACCTTATGTTGAGTCTGTTTGAATTTTGGCAAAACCTTATCCAACAACTCAAATTTCCCTGATACTCTCCAAATAAGATCGTTGTTCTCGGCGGTTGGATTAATAAAGTTTTCCACGTCCTCGTAAACAAAAGGGTGATTACAAATCTTCTTCAACTGCATAATTTGATTATTCGCGTTCTTAATTGGAAGAGCAACCTCTGGATTATTGGGATCTCCCGCATAAAGAACATTATATTTCAACATTTGCTGATATAGTTTCGATTGGACTGCGGACATTTTACATTTGACAACTTTTTCAATTTTACTTGGTAAATCTTTTTCAACGTCCTTTTTCAATCTCCTCAACAAAAATGGTCGAAGAACTTTATGCAATCTCCTAATGACCAAAAGAGTCTCTTCTTCGCTTAATTCTATCTTATCTTGTCCACCTGTGTTGGCAAAAGGTGTGTTGAACCATTCATCAAACGATTTGACCGAGTTGAAAATTTTGGGCAACACAAAGTTCAAAAGGGCCCACAATTCAGGCAAATTGTTTTGCAAAGGTGTACCCGTTAAAATCAATCTGTAATCACTATGATAGTTGGTGGTCAAAGTTTCAGACAATTTCGAATTGGTGTTTTTCATACGATGTCCTTCGTCAATAATCATGTGAACCCATCTAATTCGTCCTAAAAGCGCCTTGTCCTTGATGATGTATTCAAAAGTTGTGAGAAGAATTTGGAAATTACCCATTTTGATTTCATGCTGTAATAATTTTCTCTGATTTGGAGTACCCTTGTATGTTATTTTCTTAACACTAGGTGCCCATTTCTCAAATTCCAAATTCCAATTTGTAACTGTGGATAAAGGAACAATAACCAAAAAGGGTCCCAGGATTTTCTTTACTTCAATCAAATATGTCAACAACGAAATGGTTTGAATCGTTTTTCCCAATCCCATTTCATCAGCCAATATACCATTTAAATGATTATTAAACAATGAAACCATCCATTGTAAACCTTTCAACTGATACTCCTTCAAACTTCCACCTACCAATAGGGACGGCTGTTTCGTTACCTCTTCTTTAATTCTATGAGCAACGTTGTAGTAATCGGGTTTCTCTAGTTTCTCATCCTCATCATGGTCTACCACCATATTTTCCTCCTCAAGACGACCTGCACTAATCAAATTCTCACGTGCCTCCTTTTGTTGAGTCTCAACTGCCTGGGCCAATGAGTTCAAAAACTGATTAGTTTGTTTTAGCAAATGAGTAATTCTTGTATCCTTAGTATGGTCCAAGAGTTTCAAATAAGCTTCCTCGTCATTCAGTTTCAAAGCTTGCAAACGCTGCTTGGCCATTCTCTCAAGCTTTTTCTGTTCCTCTTTTGCTGTTTGGTTGTGGAAATTGTTGACTTTGTTAATGAACCTATTAACCTTATCGGCCTTTCTATTGTGTTTATCACTGTTTTTTTCTTCAAACTTCAATACTTTATCTATAATTTTTGAGTGTTTTCGGTTTTTTTCCTTCATCAATGTTTCCAACTGATGCTGATAAAGGTCAACAGTAATGGCAACACTATCCATTGATAACGTATGGAATCGGGCCAAGAAATTTGGATGTGAATTTGGAAGTAAGGATTTGTTGAACCAAGTTTGAATGAGAACCTTGCCCCTTGCAACCTTTTGAAGCGGAATAATCTCCAACGAGTTTAGTCTTGTTTCTAACTCGTTTCGTGTTTCAATATCATTTGGATCGACTTGAGCAAGCTGCTTCTCAAGCGATTCCTTCTCTTGTTCTATTTTAAGAGTCATAAGCACCTCACGATTAGCAGCCATATCTTCCATGCTTAAAGCATCTGGCATCAATGACGGAATTTGGAATCGACTTTGAGGAGTATACAACGAACTTAAAGGAATGTCCTTAGTGTGCTCCCCAGCAATGTTGTAAATTTCAAAAGTGTCAACTTCGGTGTTTGGCTTGCTAACAGGTATCACTATCTTATTCTTCTTTGAACTTTCCGCAATCACTTTAGCGAGTAAAGCTGGCGGACTAGGATTTGGGAGTATTAGTTGATTTTCAGGTGGTTCAGGTACTTGTATAAGAGGCGGTGGTACAGGTGGTGCTGAAACAGTACTAGGCACTTCTTGAGGCTGCATAGACCCTTGGTTAGGCATGGATGGAGTAACAATCTGTTGATTAGGTAAAAATTGCTGGCCAACTTGTTGTGGATCTTGAATTACTGCATTTTGTTGCTCGAGTTTTATTCTTTGGTTTTGAGCAGCAATACGTTGTTCTTCTTCTCTCATCTGCTTCTTTGTGAGTTTCTTGGGTTGATCCTTATTTTTTGGCTTTGGTCCCCTTTTCACCTTCTTCTTCTCTCCCGGAATGGCAAGGTTTGTGGCACTTGATCCTGAAGTAATGACAACACCGCCATTAGAATGAAGCGCCGCCTGTGGCACAAAGTGCTGCATAGGCCCGGGCACAGGTCCAGGCACAGGTCCGGGACCAACATTCACTCCTGCTATTCCAGAAGTAGCTGGTAAATATGGATCATTAGGGTACGCAGAGGCAGGATTTGTAACAAATGCAACCAAATTTTGCGGTATCAGTCCTTGATTGGGTAGTTTCATTAAATACTTTAACGCTTGCATTTGGGATTTGAGCAATTGAAATTGTTGATTTGTAAAAGCCGACTCTGCCAGACTGGCAATGGGAGGCTGATTCATCGACCAATTATTATTGCCTGATGCCTGAGCCTGAGCCTGAGCCTGAGCCTGAGCCTGAGCTTCAGCTTGAAACTGAGAAGGGGTGATACCATTTTGTAAAGGCTGAGAACCACTTTGGTTAAAAGGCCTATTGCCGATATTAGGTTGCATCAAATTAGCATTTTGAGACAACGGTGTGCCGTTCCCAGACGTGTGTAAGCTCCCACCTACCGCCGGGGATGCCATTTGACTTGTAAACAGTGATGGATTGGGGTAGGCATTGTTAGCGTTGTTGTTGTTGTGGTTGTTGTGGTTGTTGTGGTTGTGGCTGTTGTTGCTGTTGTTGTTGTTGTTGTTGTTGTTGCTGTTGTTGCTGTTGTTAGAAAATTGATGATTTTGCGGAGTTGGCTGATTTTGGAGGTGTGGTGTGTTTTGTTGCTGCCTCTGTTTCTGCTGTTGTTGCTGAGGAAGTGGTTGCGGTTGCTGCTGAGGAGTCGAGCGCTGGGTGTTTATTGCTTGCTGATGTTGTCGAGCAGGCTGTTGCTGCTGCTGTTGCTGCTGCTGGGCTGGCAGATGCCGTTGTTGGCCCAACTGGTGCTGCTGTTGTGGTTGTTGCGGTGGTGGCTGGTCTTGCTGCTGTTGCTGCTGCTGTTGCTGCTGTTGCTGCTGAAGCATCTTGATCGAGTTGATGGTCTTGTTCAACTGCGTAAACTCGGGCACATTAACCACCTGGTCGCCATACTGGTCCCTCAACTGGTGCCAACGTTGTACTATCTCCTGAACCTCCTCTTTTGTTGGCATATGATTCATTTTCAGCAATAAAAAAAAACAACAACAACGAACCCAATATAACCTCTAATACTTGTATACAAAAGATATTTGTCCAGCTTCTAATACTTGTATACAATAAATAACTTGTCGAGCGTCAAATAACCTAAGGATTCTTTTTCAACACTACGTGTGATAATCAATTAAACAAGGTAAACCAATGCTCCAATATCCACCTATTCAATATAATGGCAATAGAAAAAAATTCAAACTCGCTTAATAAGATGGCTTACTTTTAGTAGTAAAGAAGACAATCTGTGTGTCTATTAATAAAAAGAGTTTTACTTTGAGGATTTATTTTTTCAACACAACACTATCAACACTATCGAGCAACACTATCGAGAAACACTATCGAGCAGAGCGAGATAGTGTTGTTACGAGCTACAAAGTGCTGCTACACTATCGAGCAGAGCGAGATAGTGTTGTAAAAAGCTATAAAGTGGTCACTATCGAGCAGAGCGAGATAGTGTTGTAATAGGCTACAATGTGCTCACTATCGAGCAACACTATCGAGCAGAGCGAGATAGTGTTGTTACAAGCTATAAAGTGCTCACTAGCTTGCTTCGCTCCATAGTGTTGTAACAAGCTACTACGTACTCACTATCGAGAAGAACGAGATAGTGTTGTAACAGGCTTCACTAGCTTCCTTCGCTCGATAGTGTTGTTACAAGCTATAAAGTGCTCACTAGCTTGCTTCGCTCGATAGTGTTGCAACAAGCTACTACGTACTCACTATCGAGAAGAACGAGATAATGTTGTAACAGGCTTCAATGTGCTCACTAGCTTCCTTCGCTCGATAGTGTTGTTACAAGCTATAAAGTGCTCACTAGCTTCCTTCGCTCAATAGTGTTGTTACAGGCTATAAAGTGCTCACTAGCTTGCTTCGCTCGATAGTGTTGCAACAAGCTATAAAGTGCTCACTAGCTCGCTTCGCTCGATAGTGTTGTTACAAGCTACAAAATGCTCACTAGCTCGCTTCGCTTGCTCTGCTCGATAGTCTTTCAACAAGCCACTACGTACTCACTAGCTCGCTTCGCTCGATAGTCTTTCAAAAAGCTACTACGTGCTGCTCGACTGAGGTATGGAGACTGTAGAGACTCGTATGGAGAGTACAGTTGGTTAATAACTACAAACTATCTAGAAATATAGATATAGACTATCTTGCTTTGCTCGATAGTCTTCAAAGAGAAGAGAGAGTAGTATAAGATACTGAAATGAGGATACTGAGATGAGTAAGCTACCATAGTCACCGCGACACTAGCAACACTTCATAGCTTGTTGCACTCTGTTAGAGCTCCGACAGAGGAGCTCACCTCTTATAAAACTCATCTCTTGAAGCTCTCTTCTAGAACACATCTTTTAAAGCTCTCTACTAACATCTTTTAAAGCTCTCTCCTAAAGCTCACCTCTTATAGAGATCAACTCTTGAAGCTCTCTCATAAAGCTCATCTCTCATAAAGTTCATCTCTCCCAGAGCTCATCTCTCATAAAGCTCATCTCTCATAAAGCTCATCTCTCCTAAAGCTCATCTCTCCTAAAGCTCACCCATACACATCTCTATTCATGGTTCCCATAATTCTCCGTGTCCCCTCGGTGCATAATTGATTGCCTTGAATTTTTCCTTCTTGATAGTTTCATTACCGTCACCAGAAACTTGTTTCTCATGCACAACCCCTTCAATTGGTACTTGCGTCTTTTCAGCTTGTTTTCCTTTCCCTCTTCTTCGATTCCTATAAGTTGCCTTGGGAGGTTCTTGTTTCACACTGTGGTAGGCATATAAAGTAGTATCAATCCTGTTTTGCAAGATATCATTCTTTGGATCAAAATCATCGTTTCCCGAGGAAAATGGATTGTATACTCTAAACAGATTGACATCATAATTTTGGAAAATAAGCAATTCGGCTTCATTAACATTGACACAATCAATCCCATACGACTTGGCCCAAATTTTAGTAACTGGATCCTCGGTTACAAGCTTCCACTCCTCAATACTATCTTTGGGCTTGGGCTGGTATTTCTCAATAAATCTCTTGAATATACAAGTCCTGATCAAGTATCTCAATCTATTTGGCATCTCGGCAAGATTCTCAGATGCTGCTACTGCTGCTGCTGCGTCTTGATCCATTTGCGATGAGCCTAAAATACCAATGATAGTATGGTCATTTTCATTTCCATCTCCATCCTCAGCATTTTGACTTCCATCTTCAGCAATTTGACTTCCATCTTCAGCAATTTGACTTTCATCTTCAGCAGTTTGACTTCCCCTAGTTTGTCGAGTCTGATTACACTCGAACCTAGTCTTGTAATTTGGAAAATCTCCAATTTTCGGTGAGTAGATTTTATACTTTGAACAAGTTTTCCAAACTGGTGTAGCCTCATTAGGAGATTCAAGGTTTAAATTATATTGGATTTTACCGCCATTTGAAGTTGGGTGATTGTTTGAGAATTTCTCTAAATAGTTATCAATAAACTTGATTGCTTCTCGTGCGTTGGTGGCACTTATTGAAGTTCCTCTTTTCACATAATCAAACTCGTGCAAAGTATACGAAGGAACATACATATTCAACTTGATTGGGTCAAATGATTTGTTGAGGTTTTGCCCTATATACTCCTCATTAAACCATCGTTTCACATTACCAATCCCCCGAACAAATGCAGTATGATCTAATATCAAACGCACTTGACGCTTGTTGTTGTTGAGGTCATCACAAGTACTTTGTTGTTGCGAAACAGAAGCAGATCTCCCTGATTGGCCGTGCTGGGCCAAGCCTACTAATTCATCCTGAAAGGGCTCTCGAGGTTTGTCTGATTCATATATATCGGACATGTCTTGCTTGACATGGATATGACTTACCGTCGTTCTTTGCTTCTACAATATTTTGTAGAGATTCATCTCTACAGAAAATTCATCTCTACAATTTTTTTCACTAGTAGTCAAGTAGGATTGTTGAATCCTGTGCGCACTATAAACACTATCAACACTATCAACACTATCAACACTAGCAACACTAGCTACCACCGACACTGACAGGGTCATTTCAATATAACAAGAATAGAGAATAAGAGAATTCAGCCTGCACAAGAAACGCAAACCATTCCCAAAAAATGCAAACCCACAAATAATTATCAAAAATGGATTCACCTAAAAGACTCATCCATGCTCATTCATATTCACACTATCTCGATCTGCTCGATAGTGGAGCACAAAACTTTGTAGCAACACAGGTTTGACCTATAAGCAAAATTCGCACCAATTCCGCATACTACTCTTTTTGTTAGTACTCAGATTACTAGATTTTTGTTAAAAGCCAATTGATATCAATACGTTTGATCAGATAGGTTTAGTCAAGGGCATAAGCATTGAGCAAAGTGCTCTAATATTAGAGATGCCAGAAAAAACATGCTATTATAAAAACAAAATTCATCATAATGTTTTGATATCAAAAGACAGAAAACGAAATAATGTACCATACCTTCTATAACACGGGTTTGATTAATGTATTCATACCTCTACGATGATGTAGTTTTCTTGATTTATAAAGAAACAAGTGATGAATAGGCGAAAAAAAATTGTACATATTAAAGATTTTTCAAGTAAAAAAAAAAAAATGATGCGGCAATAGGCGGGAAACGAAAAAGAGAAAGACCTGTCTCTCTGAGATCTTTCTGCAAATTTCACATTTTGATCTGAAAAAGCGAAGCGAAGCGACACTATCGAGCAAAGCGACACTATCGAGCAAAGCGAGATAGTGTCGCTACAGCCAACGTCAGGGTTATATGAGGATTCTCAAATTAGACTATCTCTTCCTACATAGACTGTTTCTTCTTAGATAGACTCTTTTCCTACATCGATTGTTTCTTTGCATTTATGCAACTGTAATAGCTAAAATAGATAAAATGCGATTTATCTTTGCTTATTTTAGCAAGGGAATCCAAAAACTAACCACCTGTCAGTGTCGGTGGAAGTCAATGCTCCACTATCGAGTAAAGCGGGATAGTGCTGACGTTTGATGAAAATTTTCATTTAATATTGAACAAAAATTTGCAAATTGAAAAATGCGGGTTTGGTTACATTTCAACACCAGTGGCTGAATATCTGATTCAACACTAGTCTAAATTCCCGTATTCAAAGTTAAAGTCAACTCAAAACCGACACTATCGAGCAAAGCGAGATAGTGGAGCAGCACTTACTACACCGACACTATCGAGCAAAGCGAGATAGTGGAGCAGCACTTACTACACCGACACTTACTACACCGACACTATCTCGCTATGCTCGATAGTGGTAATTAGTTGCACATTAATTCATAACTATAAAGACAAGTCGACATTAAATGCCTAATGTTGGTGGCAGCTAGGTGTGCTCGATAGTGTCGATAGTGTCACTAGTCAATGGTGCTCCACTATCTCGCTCTGCTCGATAGTGTCGACAGGTCGATAGTATCACTAGTCAATGGTGCTCCACTATCTCGCTCTGCTCGATAGTGTCGACAGGTCGATAGTGCCGCAATCTATATGGAAACCACATAAACGGCTTCTTTTTTACCTCCAATGTTACACATACTAAATTACGGGCTTAATTAAATCATTTTGGTAGAGTGTTGCAATAAAAAAAAGATTTATTAGACGCCCTGCAATATAACTGTGTATTTATATTTATATCAAAATTTCTTTGTGTATTTATATTTATATTAATATTTATTTTATATCAATTTTTTTATTTTTTATTTTTTATTTTTTATTTTTATTTTATTTTATTTTATATTTTTATTTTTTTATTTTATTATTTATTTTTTATTTTTTATTTTTTATTTTGTTCCGTTTGCATTTGCTCGATTTGGACGAAAAGAAAACAATGTTAATTAAGTTTAGAATCACTTTGATGGAATTGGAAATTTTTAATACTATAAGATAACATTTACTTATTGAAATTGAGTAATGGTAATGTTACCGCACACAAGCGGCATATAACACATATTCATAATCTAGTTATAGGGAGAGGAGAAAAAGTTCCAGTGTCAAAGGATTTTCCAGAAAAAGTAACCCTGTATGGAGGCCTCAGGATCTTATTTATTGGAACCCTCTCTCAACCCATAGTCACCCATAGTGTAGAACAAAAGAACTATTAACAGAAGGTCTATAACGGAAGACCTATAACAGAAGGTCTATAACGGAAGACCTATAACGGAAGGTCTATAACGGAAGACCTATAACGGAAGGTCTATAACAGAAGGTCTATAACGGAAGACCTATAACAGAAGGTTTATAACAGAAGATCTATAACAGAAGATCCATCAACGGAAGCTCTATTAACAACAGTGTTGAATGGACTATCCCCAAACACCGCCTTTACAGCGACGCTCTTTTCGAGAGCCAACTTTATATGCACCAGATTACAAGAAGAGATCAAGCTCATTGTCTCCATTGAGAACTCGAAATACAACCAGCTATAATAAAGCAATAATTTTGCCTTCTCTAAATGATGAAGAAGATATCAAGTCGGTAATATCTTCTTCAAACTTGACTAAAACCCAATTAAAGAGTATCTCCAAAAATCCTTTAGCCAAAACACTCCACATTGTTTCATCCAACCCAAATGCTCAAAAATATGGTATTCCAGTACCATTGACAATAAGACTACCCCCAAAGTTGAGCTCACCGAGTGGCAGTAGTAGTCCTCTACAGTCTACGGCCTCTTCGGCTTCATCTTCATTACCAAACACTCCCAACAAACTGAGCTTTTCCCCAAAACTAAAGAAAAAGTCAAAACAGCAAATATTAATCTACACGCCGCAGGGTTACGAGAAAGTCGATACATCACTGTCGTCATCGTCGTCTTCTTCTGAAGATGAAGCTTATGAATCAATATTGAAAAACCTTCCAAAAACTCCAGAAAAACCAACTACACCAAAGAAATCTAATCAATCTCCTCCTCCTGTTGCCAACAATAACACAAAATACCTGAAATTAGCCTTCCGTAACAAAGAGGTTGATGAACTTAGTATGATTGAAGAAATTTCCACTGCTGGATTATCACGAGCTTCCACGATAAAACAAATCGAAGTCTCCAATCAAGCAAATAAAAAGTCTCCCGTACGAAATCTTGATAAAAAACTTCCATCAATACCGCCTGACACTAAAAATCCACCACTTGGCTCTGAAATTGCGCCGTCCCCATCTGCAAATTTGCGAGAGTCAAAGAAGAACGAATCGCAAACCTTCCATGGTATAGAGAGTGGTGCCAAAAAAGCGGCAGTAACCTCGAGTACATCATCTCCTCGACGTAAGCCGCCATATGCACGGGAACCTTTGAAGCCAGTTGACACGGAATCTTCAAGTCAGTTAAACAAACCTCAAGCTGCATCCTCATCAGTCACCAATTATTCACTTATTGCAAAGATGTTACCAGACAGATGCTTTAGCAATGAGTCACAAATATCTTCTGTTAGCTCGTTCAGTTCTACGGGAGAGATTGATGTGCACTTTAGACATCATGCACAATCACCTAGCAGTGAGAATATCTCCTCAGTAAGGGGAAAGCAAGTGGAACGAGCACCAAAAAGGTTTCAATTGCCTGTACTGGGCGAGAAACGAGCCAACAACAACGCTTCCAAACCTTCAATGGTACAACCATCTTCTCGTATTATTTCCAATACGAGTGATGCGTCAACCAACTCTACTGACAGTAGTACAATTAGTTGGAACTCGATACAAAAGTCAATTGATATGTCACTTGATGGAAAGAGTATTAAGCTGCCTGCTAAAAGTGATAAAACTGTGACAAAGGACTCAATACCAGATGAGGTGAAAAGCAGAAGAGAAGATGACAACGACATTTGGACAGACATCAGTGATTCTGAAGAAAATGAAGAAAAGATTGATGAAGAGGAGAAAGAAAGGGAAAAGAGTATAGAGAAGGAGGTAGAAACCAAACAGTTGAGGCAAAAGGTGAAGATAACCAATATTGGCTCAACACCTACAGCAACACCCACTCTACTTGAAGGAGATAACAACACCCAACTTATCGACAACAGTGAATTAAACACAAGTTATTACTTTCCAAATAATCTGCAAAATATTACCAATAACACTAAATTGCAAGCCATGGATCTTGAAGCAGAGACCCAGAGCAACAAGCTGAGATACAGCTTTTACTCAAACGGTCAAATTGAGATACCGGATTTATCAGACAAGAGGATTATGGACCAATACTCTACAAAAACCCCATCATCATACAACGAAACTGTATTTTCCGAACGGTTTACTGAAGCTTCGGTTTCAGATTACGAAGACAATGCACATTTGCCAGAAAGGATTAGAGTTCCAAGCAGAGGGGCAATAGAACATTTGGAGCAACAATTCAGGCTACATAATATCGATGACGACTCGGATACAGAACTAAAAATAAAAAGCACAACTTTTGCTACTCCGAAACTTTCAACAACTTCATCTTCACTGATGTTTAATTATTCATCACCTATTAAACACAGAAGAGGTAAGTCTATGCATTCTATTGATTTTTCCATTGAAAAAGAATCAGTCCGACAAGTAAACCACAATCGATCAAAGTCTGCTGATATGTTGACATCTTTTACAAGAGGGGGAGGAGAAGGTGGTGGTCATCGACGAACCAATTCGTTCGATGCGTTGAAACAAATCTCATCACATGAGGCCAAAAAGCATGGCGGGCTGAATGATGATGATGTAGGCGAGGAAATGAATATCAAGGTTGCCGAACCACCCAAAGTTGTAAATTATGCTGTGGATTTCAAAGAAAATAACTTAAAGGATGAGAACTTTGGGAACATATTTGGCACCCCAAAGATTCGTGGCTTTATCCAGCAAGGGCAGGAAAGGTCAAGTTCCAAGCGTTACGTGAGTCCCAAGAGAAAAAAGCCAACAAGCGTTGATAATAGATCAAGTATGAACATTGACAGTGCTAAGGCTGATATAACTGGAAATAAACACGAACTTAGAACCAATTTTACTTCGTCCCACAAGCCAGTAGTGGAAAAACATAATGATAAACGATCAAGGAATACGCATCACGATAATGATGAGAATGATGATGATAATAATAATAACAATAATAATAACAATAACAACAATAATGATGATGACCATGATGATCATGACGAGTTGCTAAGTCTTTACTCCAATTATCGTAACAACACGTGGTTGTTTGGTATTGATAGTATAGAATCAAAGCCAACATCCTCTGAACTTCCCCAGTCTGGCATCCATTATGATCCGAAACTGGAGCCGAAGCAAACAAGTTTGTTCAGAAATGGTAGTAATAATGATAATAGCAAGAATAACAATATTAATAATAATGCAAAAACCATGTCTTACCTTACAAGTGGCAGTAAGATTGTACATGAGCTTAACATGAAAAGATCAAACACGGTGAGCATACCTACCCCAAAGCTAATTGGTCAGAGAAATCATATCAACGGCAGTAGCGATTCCAAGAGTTCTCTTCAAAAAAAGGACCGTGAGAAGAATGAAAGTAAACGAGCTAGTATGTCCACAAAAGACGAAAAGTACTTTGACTATGCTATGGATGGCAATTACAATTTTGATACGTTTATTAAGGAGTACAAAATAACGAGCATATGAAAGGTTTTCTGCGTAGATGCATTATATATTAGAACAATTTTCCATATATATATATATATATGATCATCCCCTCTTTATTCCTTGTCTATTAAACCTTACATAAACAGGTACTGTGGCCTCAGTTTCATTTTCTTGTTCTATTTCCTCTTCGTTAGCTTCGACAACTGAGGGACACGAGTTAATTGATCTTGTGGAAGGGCTTCGACTCATGTTGTAACTCTTCAACCCTAATTTACCCATTTGTGACGACGGTGGTGGCAAAGAAGTGTTCTTGTTGTAAAAAGTTACTGTCTTATTTAGAGTCTCGATTTTGTTTGATATTGGTTGGCTAGATAATAGCACTTTTTTTGGTTTTCTATTGTAAGAATTGGAGCGTTCGAAACGAGATTTGGAAAAGGGGACGACGTTTTGACGGTTCATGACATTATTTATCGGCATTGATTGACTATGATAAACGAAATCTTCGGGAATTTGGTTAACCTCATCAAGCAACTCGGGGTCTAAAGGCACCGGCTTGAGAGTATCGTCCGTTGGGTCGATTTCTTTTGATACTTGATGGTTACAAGTCTTTGAAGTCAAGCTTTCCTGGCTGCTGAACCACGAGTATCTTTTGAATGACGGTCGATGTTTGAAGCTTGACTCAGCGGTATCAGAATTTGTTTCGGTTGATTTCTTGACTTCTACTTGAGCATTCTTGAGCAGTATTCTCGAACCACTATCTGAAGCATCCACTGTAGAGTTCTGAAATGGTTCGGATGAATCATCCGTTTTAACACTGGCTAAAAAGTTCATCATGAATTCAACTGATTCTCTCTTTTTCTTACGTTCGTCATTGATACTTTTGGAATTCGACAACCCTACTTCTGATTGCACGGCACCCAAATTTGATAGTAAACTCATCATTTCAGCCACAGAGTTTCTATTAAAAACAGTGTTATCTTTCGATTCAACTGCATTTGCTGGAGGTACTGTTTCAACGGGAAAAGTTTTTTTGCCTTCACATTGTATATGGACGTTGCTTTTTTGATGTTCTAAGTTGCTTAATAATCCCATTATCTCTACAACGGAGCTTCCGTTTTCGGGATTCGCGCCTTGTGAGTTTGCATCCTGACTATCAGCTGGAGCTTGTTCAACCGATTTAACGTTATTATCAGCACGAGTCTCAAGGCTTTGTAAGATATCCATTATTTCACCAAAAGAGCTTTCTCTTGGCTCACTCAGCTTTTGTCTCTTTTTGTTTTTATCACTGTTGGCTTCTTCGAAACATCCATCATCATAATTTGTAGAAGGGAAACTGTCAATTGCATTTTCTCTTACTTGGACCTTCTTCTTTTCCGGTAAATTGTCTCTACTGCTCACTTTCTGTTCATGGTAGTCAGTCGACGGAAATGAGTCTTGCTTGTCAACTATGTTCGTCTCTTCTGGCACTTGATTTCTTCTCTTTCCAATAAAAGATTCAAACTCCTTTATATTTGAAATAACTCGACTATGCAGCTTTTCATCAAATGACCCGTGAAAAGATGAAAAGATCCTATTTTGAATTAATTCTTTAGCATACAGTACCTCTTCAAATCTATTCTCTAATGTACTCGTATTGAAAGAGTACCGGTGAATGAGTGATTTATTAGGATTCACATCACTCCTTGTCTTCCTCGAACGGTGTCTTAAATTGTGGCCAATAGTCAATCCATTAATCATGGGACTGTTGATGTCAAAAAGTTCTAAAGCATCGCGTTCATCATCATCATCATCATCATCATCATGGTCATCAACATCAACATCATCATCATCAACACCATCATCAACATCATGGTCATTATATTTCTCTTCTCTCCACAAAGGAGTCTCAAAGTTATTGCTCAAATAACTAGAGGAATGTGCCGAGCTTGCATCGCTCTTATCTAAATAATTTTCCAATATATCCTCTTCAAAGTTCGATTTCTTGGGACTGGACGTTTCAGAAAAACTAGATGCCGAACCCTGAATGGATAGGTGATACGACAAATTAAAAGGGATGTGTAAATGCGGTAGTGGTAAAAACTCTTTGCCCCCATGCGCCAAAATTGACGAGTAAGATTGCTTTTCGTTCAAAACAAACGAAGACTTGTTTTTGGTCTTGAAGTCTTCTTCAAAATTGGTCGTGGACCCTTGTGTCTTGGAATCATCATGAAGAAACTCTTTGTAAGCACCATTCCTGGCTTCGAAATCATCTTCCTCATTAGAATCATAAACCTCCTCATCCATCCCATTATTTTCGAAATCATAGTCAAAAAGCTCCTCATCCTCATAGCCTAAATCTTGCAATTCAAAAGGATGATTAATATGTGATATGTTTTTGCCAGAAGGTCTCAGCGACGATTTTGTTTTGTAATACTTGACTGAGGTGTTTCTCCCACCTTTCATGTCCTGCACGAAAGAAAACTGCGAAGATGTGTCATCTTCTTCCTCTGTATACCCTTCTTCTACGTCTGATATACAACTGTATAAGCTAATATGGTCTGTTGTTTTCGGCTGACTATCATCATCTTCATGAGAAGATGATGCTAGCGGTAGATTAAAATTTATTTCTTTTGTATGGAATCTGGTTGCACTTTCAGCTGATGACCTAGTGCTGTTAGATATCTCTTTTACTGAGCTTCGCGATAGCAAAATCGGCGGTCCTAGCGAGGATCCTCGTATAGACGATGCAACATGAGGGTGTGGCGTTCGTTTTTGGAACTCTTGTGGTAAAGCATGGCGCTCTTCGTTTGATAAAGAAACATGCCGATCCTCCAAATCTGCTAAACTATTAAGGTCAAAAGAGGGAGAAGAAACGGCTGTTTGCACCCCCTGGGCCCGGAAAAGTGACTCTTCGGGTAGTTTTCTCGATTCAATTGATGAATGCGTGGAAACGTAACTGCGACTTCGAACATGTTTCTTGAAAATCGACCCGCCTTTTGACTCCTTCAGGGGAGATTTCATTTGCAACGCTTCCTGCAAGCTATCGTTGGTTGTTGGAGTAGTTGCAGATGATCTCGAGGAGAAAAAGAAATTCTTGATTGGCGTGAGTAACTTCTTGGGAGAGCCCATATTTGAAACACTATTGGTAGCTAAAGGATGTACCACAAACTGGCAATTCTGATGAACAGCAGGAGACTGTTGGGGAGTAGACCCGGTCTGACTCGCCAAAGTTGAACCAACATTATGACTCGTGGTACCAATACCAGCATTACCAGCATTACCAGCATTACCAGCATTACCAGAATTACCAGAATTACCAGCATTACCAGAATTACCAGAATTACCAGCATTACCAGCATTACCAGCATTACCAGCATTACCAACATTACCAGCAACCACCCCAGCACGATGTGATTCACTAGAAACGGGTGTATTCGTCGATGACGATTCATTCTTTTTCTGTGGCTTGATTAATGATAGCATTTAATGCCTGCAAAAAAGCACCAGTAAGTTACCAACCTAACCTATTCCACTTGACTATGACCTGATAAAAAGAATCAACTATAGAGTTTTAAAATTAAAGTTGGTTCCAGAATTGAAAGAGGAAAAAAAAAAGTCTTGAAGGAAAATTGAACCAAAAACTCAAACTCATACCAAACGACTTGATGAAACCATTGATTGGAACCAGGTAGAAAGAGGTTGTCTAGTAGAAAGAGATTGTCTAGTATTAAGCAAGAAATGGCTGTTTGAATAAATGTGCTGTAGTTATACAGTGTCTTGTTTTTTATATTTATTTATTTATTTATTTATTTATTTTATTTACAAACTTCTTCTTTTCTTAACAGCAGAGGCCAACATGTCCAAGACTTCTACTGTTGAATCCCATCCGATACATGCATCGGTGATCGACACACCATATTTCAATGCATCTTTACCCCCTTCGCTCGGGGGTGGTACATCTTGTCTTCCCTCGTTTAGGTTACTCTCTATCATCAACCCGCAAATATATTTGTTACCACTTGCGATTTGGTCAGCAACCACCTTGGCTACTTTTGGTTGATTTCTGTGGTCCTTGTTACTGTTGCCATGGGAACAATCAACCATAATACGAGGTCCTTTTTGAGTTTCTCCAACGAGATTTGCTTTTATCAACTGCTCTTGAGTTTTCTCAATCGACTCGGCATCGTAGTTGGTGCCTTGTTTACCTCCTCTTAATATAACAAAACAGTCTTTATTACCATCAGTCCCAACAATAGCCACCACTCCCGGCTTTGTTACCGATAAAAAATGATGTGGATGCGATGCAGCGCGCACTGCATCGATAGCAACGCCAAGGGTACCATCTGTTCCATTTTTGAAACCAACTGGGAATGAGAGACCTGAAGCCAACTCTCTATGCAATTGCGATTCCGTCGTTCTCGCTCCTACTGCTCCTATTGAGAAAAGATCAGATAAAAATTGCGGCGATATCGTGTCCAACATTTCTCCCGCAATCGGCAATTTTGATGTGATATCGACAAATAACTTTCTCGAGATTCTCAAACCTTTATTTATGTGGAAAGTGCCATTGATATCTGGGTCATTGATCAACCCTTTCCACCCAACGGTTGTTCTCGGTTTTTCCAAGTATGCTCGCATAACAATCAAGAGCTCATTTTTGTGCCTATTGGATTCTTCAAGCAATTTATTGGCGTACTCCAAAGCTGCCTTGGGGTCGTGAATCGAACAAGGCCCAATAACGACAATCAAACGATCCTCATTTCCGTCCAAAATCCTGCATGCTGCATCTCTTCCCTCCAATATGATTTTCTGTGATTCCGGCGGCAAAGGATACTCGTGCTGAAGTAAATCTGGTGGTGTTAATGGGTCATATCCCTGGACTTTATCATTTTCAAAGTAGAGTTAGGTTAGTATTATATATAGGCCCATGTGGCTTCAAAGAAAATTTTCATTTCCTTACATACTTCTCCAATCCTCCATCCGACTTCTGTCACCAACATTTTCATTCGTAATGAACATTTTACCACTACTTTTCACCAACTATAGATATGCTCGTCCCTATATGATAACCTTAAAAGAGGATAACAATCCAGTTGAACTAGCTCATCTCAACTGAAAATTTTTCAGCCATATTCATTTTGTATGCTGCAGCCGCACAAAAGGATCATGCACAATATGCAGGAATTGCACCAACGGTAATCGAATTTGCAATCAAAGCGATTGGTCAACAACACCATCGAGCAGAGTGAGATCCACCATCGAGCGCAGCGAGATGGTGTTGTAACAAGCTAGTGTGCTCCACTATTGAGCAGAGTGAGATCCACCATCGAGCGCAGCGAGATGGTGTTGTAACAAGCAAGTGTGCTCCACTATCGAGCAGAGTGAGATCCACTATCGAGCGCAGCGAGATGGTGTTGTAGCAAACTAGTGTCGGTGGAGGTATTGTGCCCCACTATCTCGCTCTGCTCGATAGTGGATTTGTAACAAGCTAGTCAGTGTCGGTGGAGGTAGTGTGCTCCACTATCTCGCTCTGCTCGATAGTAAAGTTGTAACAAACTAGTCAGTGTCGGTGGAGTTGTAGCAAGCTAGTCAGTGTCGGTGGAGTTGTAACAAGCTAGTCAGTGTCAGTGGAGGTATTGTGCTTCACTATTTCACTCTGCTTGATAGTGGAATTGTAACAAGTTAGTCAGTGTCGATGGAGTTGCAACAAGCTAGTCAGTGTCAGTGGAGGTATTGTGCTCCACTATTTCGCTCTGCTTGATGGTGAAGTTGTAACAGGTTAGTGTTGGTGGAGGTAGTGTGCTCGACTATCTCGCTCTGCTCGATAGTAAAGTTGTAGCAAGCTAGTCAGTGTCAGTGGAGGTAGTATGCTCCACTATCTCGCTCTGCTCGATGGTGGAGTTGTTTTTCCAAATATATAAATGTAGCCATTACGTTCTATTTCAGCCAAGTTGTTTTCATCGCACACTACAACCTTCTCATCATTGAAAAGCACCCATTTCCAATCCCCTTCTATAAATCTTCTCACAAATACAACATAGTGACCTGTATGTGGGGATGAGCCCTTATGACAGATGACTGATTTGAGTCGGTATAACGAGTCTGTGTCAGTATTGGTATCAATTTCCCTTTCTAAATCCTCAATTAGTGTTTTCTCCTCTTTCTTGACATCGATAACTGGTTTTACGTGTGCTGGCAAAACACCGTCATCGTTGGGGTTGGCAAATAGCCATTCTACAGCTGCATTAGGATCTCTACCATTTAAATGAAGGGCTTTCTCGCTTAATGCGCGTGAAAAGCCCATCGCAATAAGGTTCTCTAATACTTCTTCATCGTCCAGCTGTTGACCACCACTAGAAACCAATGGCTTATCAATCTCGGGTTCTTCCATGTGTGCAAAAATCCAGTTCATTGCTTCTTCGGCATTCTGGTTTCCTGTAGCGTACAACGCATTAATGCATCTAACCTGAGGAAATCCCATATCTTGCAACACATTCAATAACCCTTCGTTGGGTTCAAATCTAGTTTCTGTTTCTTCTTGGGTCTTGACAACATTTGCTTTTTCAATTTCATCGTCGTCAAATTTAGGAGCCCTAAACTTTGATAGATCCAATGAGTAAGGTATTTCTATTGGAACATCTACTTTAGTAGGCGTCCAATTGACCAACTTGATTCTTTGGACACTTATGATTAGGTTCTTTGGAAACGTTGCAAAACCGCCAGACTTAAAAGCTTGTCCGGGTTCAACCAGGCAGTTTTCACACTTGTATCCATCTATAGTCTCCTTCTCCGAGAGAAGTTCCAAACTTCTTTCTAAATTGGTTTTCTCATAAGCACTATCTTCCATGTTTACAGCATTTTTTTCTTCAATTGGCACGGATATATTGTCCAATAATTCACTTGTAATGGACCCATGCTTGCAATGGGCACAGATAACCTTGTTAGCAAAAAGAAATTTCAAGCTCCGGTTGAGTTTCATGCCAAATTGTTGATCTCCTTTTCCCAAGAAATATTGCAAAAATTCAAATGCATCTTGCTGTTTTTGTGTTTGGAATTCCTCATGGTTTTTAGCAACGAGTGTTTTGAAAGTTGAAGGTTTAATCCCCAATTGGTAATCTTCACCTTTTAGAGAGCCCGGGACAGAGTATCGACCACTATAGAGTCCATCGTAGAGTTTGATCAATTGAGTGGTCAAGTCTTGTGCAGGATCTGCTTCCAAATCAAATGTGAGGTTTTTGAAAAACTCTTGATATGCCTCCAAGTCGAACAATGCCTGTAATACAGAATTCATGTAACACGAATTACCCAAATTCTGAATTCCAGTAAACCCTCTTCCATAAACTGGTGCCAATTTCTCGCCAGCAACTCCTTCCAACTTGAAATCCCAATTCATATTTTGGTCTATATTCAATTCCACTAAAGACTTTTCCGTTTTTGTAGCAACGCTCAAGTCAATTCCAAACTTTTCAAGTTTAATAGCCAAGTCAGGAACTTTCACTTCATCGTTACACTGGTAGCAATACGCATCGCAGCTATCGGGATTGCTTGACAAAGACCCTAGTTTGAGTGCTACAGGGTGTGTTGGGTTATTTTCATAATGTGCCAATGCATGCCCGTTTCCTTCTAGTGAAGAACCAAATTGCTGTCTCCCGCAACCCAAAGCACCACAATGAAGACATATCCATAAATTCTCCTTCAAGCCGCACTTGCTGCACTTTGTCAAGTCTACTTTTTCGACAATATCTGGATGCAAATCAATCGAATGAGGACACGGCTCAATCTCCTGCTCCCATTGCTTAATTTCTTCAACTTTGCTAGACGAGTTTGCTTCCAAAATTTGATCAATGAGCCTTTGAAATTCGGCACTAATTTGTTCTCTACTATACAATTTGTCTTCCTTCACGTTGTAAATTCCTATACTTGTTACATAATATTCATCTTCCTTTACGTTTTTCACCTCCAATTTCTGTATTTTGCAGTTTTTCTCCCCCTTATCGTCATACAATAACTTGTTGACTTCCTCTTGAGGCTTGAGCGTCTTTTTGATGTTCAAATACAAGTAGTTTCCCGTTCTTTCATAGTTTTGTCTTGTAAAATTAAAATCCTTATTTCTCGAATATGCCTTATAAGTTTTCAAATCAATATCCAACCCTAGCTCGTTATTTTCCGCGGTATCATAGCAATACATGCAGTCATTCTTATAGATCTTGACACTCGGCAAAACAGACCCAGGAATCCCTGGAGGCAACTCTAAGCTCATTCTCTTTCTACACCACTTGTTTGGTATGCTTTATTTAAAACATTAGATATATTTCTAGCCATTGTTAAATTTCATTGAGCCTCTTTTTTTCCCACCTTCTTTTTTCCCAACTCATCTCGAAACAAAAGCCGCCGAAAGCCGCCTAAGGCTGAAAAATTTCATAGATTATCAGGATTAGGAACAGGAAAGGTATCATATACCTTTAATATATTTGCACGGGAGTGTTGTAACAAAAGGTAGTCGGTGTTGCTCGATAGTGAATTGGTTTACACGGATGATGGAAAAGGTTCAACAAATATTACGTCAGAAACAAGGTGGTGTTGACACAAGTTCTCAGGGGTTCAAATTGTGCGTTTACTTTGCTAATTGGTCTGTTTATGGCAAGAAACATTTTCCTTCACATATACCATATGAGTACTATACCCATATCTTTTATGCCTTTTTAAAGATCAACAGTGAGACTGGAGAGTTGTGTTTTACTGATGAATGGTGTGACTTGCAAATGCAAGAGGAATCTTTGATTCCCGGGGAAATTGTTCATGGCAATTTGGAGCTGCTTTATCAAATGAAACGGCTTAACCGACTGTTAAAAGTTATTATGTCAGTTGGAGGCTGGGGAGCATGCAGCCAATTTGAGGCAATAACTGATGACAAGGAGAAGTTACGTTGCTTTGTTGAAAGTGCAGCTACTCTTTTGCTCAAGTACAAATTCGATGGTATCGACATTGATTGGGAGTACCCCAATAATGACCAACAGGCAAGGGGATTGGTGGAAATCTTGGCCAAGTTAAGGCAGGCTTTGCCAAAACAGACCATCCTTACAGTTGCCGTTCCTGGAGGAGAAGAAAATGGGCGGTATTTGAAAATCAAAGAAATGGACCAATACTTGTCCTTTTGGAATTTGATGACATATGATTTTGCCGGACAATCGTGGTCTCAAAAGACTGGTTTCCATTCAAATTTATTTGGCAAGAATGGAGACAATGAACTTTGCGCTAGCCAAGTGGTGCAGAGCTATTTACAAAGAGGAGTTCCGGCGTGTAAGCTTGTTTTGGGAATGCCAATGTACGGACGTGTTTTTTGTGGGGTATCAAATTGTTTGATAGGCCAACCTTTTGCAAAGACAAGCAAGGAAGACATTATAAATTACAATAAAATATGCGAGTTCAAAGAGCATGGCTTTGATCCAAGAAAAGTAGCTGCTTTTAGCTACGATCCAGAAAAGAAGGAGTTTGTTACGTACGATAATGCACAAAGTGCAAAGATTAAAGCAAGTTATGTCAAGCTGAATGGTTTAGGCGGTGGAATGTGGTGGGAGTCATCAGGAGATCGAGAGATTAGCAAGAGAGGAACTTGCGAGTCTCTAGTTTTTAATTTTGCTGAGCAATTGGGTGGACGCTCAGCTTTAGACAATAGCAAAAACAAGTTGGACTAAACTGACACTATCGAGCAGAGCGAGGTAGTGGAGCAACAAGCTACTGCTCGATAGTGGAGCAACAAGCTACTGCTCGATAGTGGAGCAACACTCTGTAGCTTGTTACAACACTATCCAAAATAGAGAAAAGAAAGAGAGAGCACTAAATATTTTTCAAATTCCATCTAAATACCTTTCAGCTCCTTGACACTAAAAAACCTCCAAATAGTTTCTCAACAACTGCACGTAGTAGTAGCAGTAGTAGTAGTACTAGTAGTAGTACTAGTAGTACTAGTAATGGTGGTGGTTATTTTTTTTCCTTTTTTTTTCTTTTTTGGCTCAGAGAATTGAATCCATTCTCGCAAAAACACTCAATACTGCTGCCACCAACTCTAATTGCAACTTGGAAGCTGAAGATTCTTCAATTTCGGCACTAACTTGCTGTCCCAAATTCAATCCTACTCCCAAGGGACTTTGATGTGACAAGTTAAAGGGGTATTCGCTATAGTCGGCTAAAAGCTCATCTGCCCTTGCAAATGCTTGGTCTCTCTTGTCATAGTTCAACGACATCAACACGTTTTCCAACACATTAGCGGCATATGATCCACATACCAAAGATATAGTTCTTAAATACTTGAATGAAGTGTCTTTTGGGAACTGATCATTGGCAACTGCCTCAAGGTCAATGTTTCTCAGGACCAAAAAAGCCAAAATTCTATTTTTGACATACTCTTTAGACATTTTATCTGCAACTGGATGTGTTGCCATATCGAATAAGAAAAAGTTTTTCCTTTCTGTTCTTAAAATGCCCTTATCTACCAAACCTTTTGCTAATCTCTCTCGCACTTGCTTCAATTGGTAGTTTATTTTCATCAAATTCCATGTTTCTCCACTTAATAAGTCGATCCAATTGGTAACCGATAAGTAGGACTCGTCACTCTTCATGATTTTCAAAGCTTCGTCTAAAAGAACTTCACCCGTGGGTTCGGTGTCTATAACTTCCACTAGCCTATCGCTCAATTCAAACCTTCCCATTGCCGGGTCATTGACCAATGTGATTTTATTGCGAAATGCCAACTCCAACAATATACAACCCCTCAAGGCATAAGAGATGTTATCATTCCAAAAGGACAAATACCCTTCCTTATCTTTCAACCCCATGAGAAGGACCTCCTCCATTAGCGTTAACAATGGCGCTTTAACGACACTGCGATCTTGAATATCGCGGTCATCGTAGCCTATTTTGTGATCGACATTTGCTGGCGATATATCGCTGCTGCCTTCGTCAAATGAGTTGGAGGTGCTTGCTTTGGACGATGACTGTTTATTAGCACCTCGACGTCTTTGCAATCCTGATGACGACATTGAGCATACAACAAGACCCCCTTTTCTACTATAACAATCTCCTTATCCCAATGGTCAATTGAAATTAATTATTTTTTTCCTTGGTTTTTTTCGCTGGTGGAAAAGCCAGCGAGAAAATGAAACAATGAAAAATGTTTGGTACGACACTATCGACACTATCGAGCGAAGCGAGATAGTGAAGCACACTAGCTCTGAACACTATCGACACTATCGAGCGAAGAGAGATAGTGGAGCATACTAGCTCTGAACACTAGCTCTTAATATAATCGAGCGAAGCGAGATAGTGGAGCACACTAGTTCTTTACACTAGCTCCTAACACTAGCTCTTAACACTAGCTCCTAACACTAGCTCCCAACACTAGCCACCACCGACAGTCAACTCTCCCGAGTGTAGAGTGTAGTGAGCAGAGTGTAATGAGTAGAGACTAAGTGGTGGGCTATAAATGTAGAGACTAAGTGGTGGGCTATAAATGTAGAGACTAAGTGGTGGGCTATAAATGTAGAGACTAAGTGGTGGGCTATAAATGTAGAGACTAAGTGGTGGGCTATAAATGTAGAGACTAAGTGGTGGGCTATAAATGTAGAGACTAAGTGGTGGGCTATAAATGTCTATGCTTCTGAAACAATTGCAAAAGACAGTTGTAGAAGATTGTAGAGAAAGACAAATGTAGAGAATGGCTATGGTGGAAGATTGTAGAAAGACAAATGTAGAGAATGGCTATGGTGGAAGATTGTAGAGAAAGACAAATGTAGAGAACGGCTATGGTGGAAGATTGTAGAGAACGGCTATGGTAGAAGATTGAAGAAAGACTCTGGTAGAGTGTAATGATTAGAGAGCAAGTGGTGGGCTATAACTGCACGGATTTGATTGCATCCTACAATTCTAGACATATTCCAAGAGTGAGATAGTGTCGATAGTGTCAGTGGCCGCTAGTCAGTGTTGCTTAACAGTGCTGTTCCACTATCGAGCGAAGCGAGATATGGGAGGTGAGCAGAGTAGCTCCACTATCTCGCTCTGCTCGATATGGGAGGTAAGCAGAGTAGCTCCACTATCTCGCTCTGCTCGATACGGGAGGTAAGCAGAGTAGCTCCACTATCTCGCTCTGCTCGATATGGGAGGTGAGCAGAGTGGCTCCACTATCTCGCTCTGCTCGATATGGGAGGTGAGCAGAGTAGCTCCACTATCTCGCTCTGCTCGATAGTGGATGTAGCAGAGTGGCTCCACTATCTCGCTCTGCTCGATATGGGAGGTGAGCAGAGTGGCTCCACTATCTCGCTCTGCTCGATAGTGGATGTAGCAGAGTGGCTCCACTATCTCGCTCTGCTCGATATGGGAGGTGAGCAGAGTGGCTCCACTATCTCGCTCTGCTCGATAGTGGATGTAGCAGAGTGGCCATTGTTTTACCTCGCACTTTGAGCTTTGATACTACAAGTTATATATGCGCATTTTCAAAGCTTAAACGATAGTAAGAGAATAGGCTAATTGACCAATCTGATAGGCTAATAGACCTCTCTGAGCTAGTTAAAATAGGCCAATAGACCAATCTGAGCTAGCTACAGTAAGCACAAGTTAATCTGAGCTAGCTAAGCACAAGTTAATCTGAGCTAAATTCAATTCAATGAGTAAAATACCATTTGACGATTTGCAATAATTTTCCATATTGATATTGAGCTGATTTCGTTTTAGATGGTCGAACAAGCTTCGATTCCAACGCAAAACAAGGTTTTAACCGGTGCCCCGTCTATCAAGATGGTGCGACAACTTTCTAATTCGAATAACAGTGACGATGAAGGTATTACGGAGCCCCTGGCCATCATCTCCAAAAAGCAGCAAGACTTTATTTCCTTCCCTTTGATTGCCGATCCAGAAGTACCCAATAACAAATCATTTTCTGGTTTGATATCTAAAACGCTTCGTAAAGTGACGAATAATGCTACTAAATTGGTTGAAAACTATTCCGGCACCCTGCATGATTTGCTGACGCCAAAACACATTGAAAGCAGTGAATCCATAACCTCAATCGCCCATGGCGATCAACATCTAACCTCAATCGCCCATGGCAATCAACATCTAAGCTCGGTCGGCTCCCGTCCAGTAGCCAATGAGACTGACTCGCGTATACTACCCCTGTCAATCGCTCATATAGACAAAAGCGATGAAAACTTTTTACAAGATCCAGTTTCAAATATTCAAACAGACAAGGATGTTACAATTAATCAGCGGCATATGGTCAACGATGCTACAGCTAATCAGCGGCAAATGGTCAACGATGCTACAATTAATCAACGGCAAATGGTCAACGAGGCTACAATTAATCAACGGCAAATGGCCAAGGAAGAACAAAGTCGGCCAAAGGCACAACCATCACAAGCTCAAAGTCTCTCCCAACTTGCAAAATTGACTCAAAAGAGTGGATTACATCATATTCCCGAAAGTATTCAGCTGCTGCTGTCTTTAAGTACCACCAATAAGGTTCATAAAGTGTCAAAAGAGGTAAGTGGCTCAAAAGTGACTTCAGATAACAAAAGTTTGAGGCTATCTAATTTGCAATTCCCCAAATCGCAGTCAATTAATCCAAGTGCAACAAGCTCAGTTGTTAATATAAATGCCCTGGCGACTGTTGATGTTCCTGAACTGTCTGCCAGTAACAACACTAGCATTAGTAGCAGTAAGAATCGCGATCAGGGTCGAGCGCAGCAAGACTTGGATCTGAAGACCAAAAAGCCAAGTCTAAAGAAAAAGATTTCAACAATGTTTAACAATTTACCAAACGATATTGAATTCTCTGAGGATTCAGCTTCAGATCTGGATACCATGGATGATATTGTAGAAAATGAACTCCCTGTGGTGGTCCAGAAAGGTGCTAGTGCCACTACTGCTAGTGCTACTACTGCTAGTGCTACTACTACTACTACTACTGCTGCTGCTGCTGCTACTGCCACAGCTACAGCTACAACTACAGCTACAGCTACTATTGCTCCTAATTCATCAAATGGAACTACTACTCCACCTTCAAAAACAAACACTAAAACTCAGTTTCAGTACGATTTCGGTTCACGATATAGTGGATCCATTGCAAAGTCCTCCCCAGTTAAAGCAGAGATCAAGAACAAGGCAACATTTACAACAAAAACTGTAGGACAATCACCAACTTTATCCTCATTTCAAGCACTTCAAGAAAAAAATCACAATGCATCTAAAAAGAAATCCTCGAATTTCTCGTCAATCATACTCGATAATGCTAAAACAATAATTAATCAAAACATAGGTGCTGTCGCATCTTCTACTTCATCGATAGTTGGTAAAAAAAAGAAAAAAAAGCCAAAAAGAGTCTCAGAAAACCCATTGAAAAATGGAGGTATTCCCAGAAAGTATTGGATGAATGATGATTTTGTGGTTGACTGTTTAAATTGTTTCAAGCCATTTACAGCTTTCAGGAGGAAACACCATTGCAGATTTTGTGGCCAGATTTTTTGCTCGGATTGTATGCTATTTGTCTCATATACACAGCACAGAGATGAGAGGAACAATATTACTCAAAACAAGAAGCCCTACAATGATAAACTTCGTGTTTGCAAGCCATGCTACAGCGATGTTATTATATATCTAAGTGATGCTTCATCGGGGTCTGAAACAGAGGAAGAGGGTGAACTAGCAACTGAGGAGCTTCAAACCCCAGAAAAGAAAAGCGGCGATCATTTAATTCCTAACAACCCTTTGATGAGAGTTCGATCTTTATCATTAAGTTCATTGTATCGAGGGAGTTTGCAAGGAGATGACATCAATAAAAGTGGTCTGCAAAATGGTGCCAGTAACGAGACGTCTTCAATGAAGGATGGAAGCTCTCCCTGGCATGGTCATTTCATTTATCCCGATGAGTCGATAAAGTCTAATCCAAAACAAGCACCACGTATGGCTATTCCAACTACTCGTGCCGGAGAGTCGGTTGAGATACCTATAGTGAGGAATTCATTCACGAACTCAAGTATTTTACGAAATTTTAATAAAAATTCCACATCGAATTACAAAATAGAAGCGTTATCGTCAAGAAACACAACTCAGCATCCTCATATGAATTTGGTAACACCGGCTACCCAGCACCTGCTTCTTCAGCGCCAATACCATTCCCACCAATATCCGCATGCTTCATTTGAAACACCAGTTTCAAGCAAGACATGGCTAAAAGCAGCTCAAGGAACAAATAATACAGGTATTTTTATGAGCCGCAGTTTTGATAATGCCAGTACTCTCTATAGCAATTTTATTACTCGGAAGCCTTCGTTCAAACAGAAGTTGCATTCCGAAACAAGGAATCCCGATGCAATGAATTGCTCGTATGAAGAGAATGACGGACATCATACTGACACTGAAAGCACAGATAGTGCTAGCGAGGAGGAGTTGAATGGCATTGAAAATGGATTGAGTGAAACAAATAGTGAAGAGGAAGACAATAATGCAATGTCGTTATATGCCTCTCTTAATGACCTGTACAAGTATGGTTCAACTCCATTAGCACAAAACAACTATATATATGGTAGCTCAACCACATCGGTACCTACATTGGGAGAGTTCCCGGCATTAAAGAGCTTTTTGGGAGATAAATTAGAATTGAATCAACCTGTTTCCAACAATGCTAACACGCCAAATGTATTGTTTGCCGATACACAAAGACGGCCTGAAAATATTCGTTCTCGAGCAAGAGCAAATGCATCTCTTCAACGTATGAAATCAAGAAGGCAGAGTAGGGCGACTAGAAATGTTCTGATTTTAACGCATAATAACATTCGTTTACCAAGCATGGAATCTCCAAATCATCGAAGCCATTTCACATCACAGCTAGTACCTGTATCATCATCTTCTTCACCTCCCCAGCCACCGGCTTTACTGCCACCTCAACCACCACCACAACCACCACCACCACCACTAACAACATTTGCATTACCAGAAAACACAATTCGTTCAAATCTTACTAGCACAATTAGTCATGCAGATACATACTCAGACTCAAATAGCAGTTTATCAAATCAGAATGGAACTGAGATATCGCAAATAGAGACTGGAATGTCTACTAGTACTGTTTTGGAGCCACGTAGTAACAACATCGATTATTTCACGTATGATAGCAGTCAGAGTCCAGTAAGAGAAGGAATGAATTTAGAAAGTAACTTTAGCAAGTTTGATAGACCTGAACTATACAAAAAGCATTTGAAGGATGTATTGAAGCAATCGTTAGACGACTGTGATGTTATTGATCATCAAGATAAATGGATGTCAGTTCTCAATAGGGTATTGAGCAATGTGAATTTAATAAAGTTAACTGATACCCTTGATATTCGTCAGTATGTTAAAATTAAACGTATTTTGGGTGGAAAGATTGAACAAACGAGTATTATTGAAGGATTATTTATGACCAAGGATGTTGACTCGAAGCGAATGTCCACTGTAATAGAAAATCCACGTATTGCTTTGCTTATGTTTCCTGTGGAATATTTGAAGCAAAGAGAGCAATTTATAAGCTTACGGATTATTCATGCACAGCAATCAGTCTATATTACCAATTTGGTTTCTAGAATTATCTCTTTGGAGCCCGATATTATTGTTGTGGGAGATACCGTTTGCGGATTAGCAGAGAAATTGTTGGAAGAAGCAGGTATTACTGCGATTTCTAATGTTAAGCCACAAGTGATTGAGCGCATATCACGATACACTAATGCGGATATTTTCCAATCTGTTAATGATCTTTTTTTCAAAAAGGGGAATTTGGGCCGCTGTGCAAAGTTTGAAGTGAAGCGGTACAAATACCAAAACATTGTAAAGACATTTACCTTTTTCAGTGGAACTAATATTCAGCTGGGATTTTCCATTTGCTTGCGAGGCGGAGACGAAGAATTATTAGGCAGCATCAAATACACCGCGGAAACATTAACACCAGGCTACTTAAATGCTCGATATGAAAAGAGTTTTTTTGGCAATATGCTCTTATGTTTTGATTTTGATAATTTGAATAAATGTGAAAACTTGGTGATGGTCAACGATATATTAGATGAGTTGCAAAATAGCGAATATTGGGGCAAGATTGAGCCTGGTTTGGACAGTGGGGAGGAAGTCATAAAGTACATTGATTTATTCAATACGAGGAAACTTTCTTTGTCCCCGTGTGTCCAATTTTCACTACCAACGCCCTTGGTAAATTTAGTGGTATCATATCGCAACTACTTTCAATCTTTTGTCCGGGACAAATCTTTGCAAGAACTTGCTGATGTGGGCACTGTTGATTCTAGTATAATGGAAAATCTAAACATAACCGTTACTAGTGCCGATCTACCTAGGAAAGATAAAGACTTGCTCGAGATATTAAAGTGCACAAGTGCGCACCAATTAAAGCTTGCACTAACTGAGCTTCAAACTCGAGCTCGTATTTGGTCAAATTGCGTAAAGTATACTTCGTATCAACTTATTCCGATTTTCCATCGCAACATTTACTTTTTGCATTCTACAATTTCCATAAAGCATGCGACGCCATGTTCAGGTCCAAATATTGTAGTTGTTGATTATTACACCGATAATGATAAATGTTTAGGATTGTTTCTTGACCAAACGATTAATGATAGCTCCAGGGTTTGTGATGAGTGTGGGGAATTGCTTTTTGATCATTACAAAACTTATGTGCATGGGAATGCAAAGATAGATTTTATTACGGAAGAGTATGATATTAAGTTAAGTGACAATGGCGATGGCAATGGTATTACTACTCAAGGGAAGAATCAAAGAATTATGTGGAGTTATTGTAAAGAGTGCAATTATGTCACACCAATTATGGCAATGAGTGACGAGACTTATTACCTTTCCATTGGCAAATTTTTCGAATTGAACTTTTATGGACAAAATGTCAAGGGAGGTTGTGAGCATGATTATTTCAAGAATTATGTAAAATGTTTTGGATTCAATGATTTGATAATCCGGATAGAATATTCAAAAATTGACAATTATGAAATTGTTGTTCCAAAGAAGCAACTCCAGTTTATTGTTGATATTGATATAAAACTTAAATTGGAAGCATTCAAATCTATAAAAAGTAAAGCCCAAGCATTTTTTGACTCTATTTTAAACCGTTTAAATAGAGTCAAGTTGGACACTTTTGTCAAAGCCGAAGATGGCACAAAAGAGATTTCAGAGTTGAAGAAGAAAGTATCAATTGATTCTCAAATGATTTACAACAAGTTGCAACAAAAGTACGAAGATATAAGTGTCACTAGTTTTCTCGAGTTGAACAGCATTTATAGAGATTTGCAAAAGTTGGGTGTCATTTGGGATAATGAGTTTAATGACTTTGAAAAGAAGTATTTACCGAATGAAAGTGAAGTTAATAAAATCACCCAATTTCATTTGAGGAAGTTTTTGATGGACAAGCACAGCGATAAAGCAGTGGATGAGACCGAGCTACCGAAAGGTGATGGTGATGACAAGCGATTGGAAAAAGTAGATTTTCAACAACCTGCCAAGGATACAGCAACTCCAAACCATTCTAGTCTACCGGTTTCTGAACAAGCAATACCAAGAAGTCAAACCTCCGCCAACGCCGCCACCACTATAACGTTAGAGAAGTCTAAAACTTTGAAAGACGATGATGAAAGTGGTGGAAAAATGAATTGGAATGGAAACAGAAACGAATTGGATTCTACTAGACTACTACCTGAATTTGTTCCTCGCAAGCCGAAGGAAGTACAGGATGATAGAAGACCTTCAGATCCAAATCTTGAATTTAAAATGTTTCCTGCTAATTCATTATATGGGCAAACTTCTAATATATCTGAAAGGATTAGTAAATGGGAACAAACTGCCTCAGAGACCTCAACAATGAAACCGAATGAAATTGATTTGACCCGTATGGCTTCTGATAGCTCACTAAACACTGTTATCCCGTCGCAAAATAAAGTTATACACTTGGCCAATTTCTTTGACAAGATGTATTATGATCAAATCTCTCTTGAGTTTTCGAAACAGAGAGAATTTGAAATGAAAAAGAGAAGCCGCATAAAAGCTCAACCTATTTTGGATAGTAAACCTATTGTGAAAATATATAACAAAATCGAAGATGTTGTTGGAGATTCTGAGCTAGACGAAAAGAAAAAGAATACTGAATCCGAATCCGAAGCCAAATCCAAATCTAAACAAGATGACGGAAAGGATAAAGAAGAGCAACCTTCACAACCTAAGCAAGTCGATATACCTGAAAAGCAGTCCTTGTTAAAATCGTTAACCAATTTTTGGGCAGATAGATCTGCCACCTTGTGGGAGCCATTGGCGTATCCATTAGAAAGTCACGAGCATACGTTTGCAGATAGTGATGTTATTGTTAGAGAAGATGAGCCAAGTTCATTGGTAGCTTTTTGCTTGAGCTCCAATGATTATACGCAAAAAATGAAAAGTTTATACGAGCAAGGTGAGGTTGACCCAAGTGAGCTGAAGGATGATTTACGTCCAAAGAAACTGACAATTATTGATTACTCTAAAAGCCAAGAGCCGCAGAGTGAAGTAGTAGTTGCAGCTGATGGGAACCACCTTGGATCTTCTCAGCACCAACACTCTATTGAAGAACAAAATGAAGAAGGTCTAGAAGACAATGATAACCGAGATGTTAATGTAGAAACCAGTAGTAAAGAAAACCTGAGTGATAATTTGAACAGATACAAGGATTTTGGATTTGGGTTAAACTCAAATGACAAAAAGAAGCATATTCAATTTGCAAAGATTGAGAAAAAATTCAAGCAAAAGAATCCTCAAACTTTTGGTAAGGAAAGCCATTTGGAAGCAGTTTTGAACAAAAAGGAGTCGAACCATTTAAAGTACCAGTTCAGTGATGGAAACACCAACTTATCATGTAAAATATTCTACAGTGAACAGTTTCAAGCGTTGAGAAGATTATGTGGAGTACAAGATAGCTTTATCCAAAGTTTGAGTCGTTGTGTCAAATGGCAATCCAATGGCGGGAAAAGTGGATCGAGTTTCTTAAAGACCTTGGACAATCGGTATATTGTGAAGGAGTTGAGTAAATCTGAGCTTGAGTCATTTGTTTCCATTGCTCCTTTTTACTTCAAATATATTGGGCAATCGATGTTTTACACTTTAACCACGGCGATTGCAAAAATATTTGGATTTTACCAAGTTGAAATCAAAAACAATACAACCGGTAAATTATTCAAGATGGATTTTTTGATTATGGAGAATTTGTTTTATAATCACAAAACAACTAGAATATTTGATTTGAAAGGATCAATGAGAAATAGACATGTTCAACAAACGGGTAAAGAAAATGAAGTTTTATTGGATGAGAATATGATTGAGTATATTTATGAATCGCCAGTGTTTGTTAAGGAGCAACTGAAAAAGTTATTAAGAGGCTGTTTATTCAATGACACTAGTTTCCTTTCAGCGATGGATGTAATGGATTATAGTTTAGTGATTGGGATTGACGATACTACAAAAAAGCTTTATATTGGTATAATTGATTGGTTAAGAACATTTACATGGGATAAAAAAGTTGAAAATTGGGTCAAAGGAAACAATTTGATTGGTGGTGGTAAGAAGGGTAAGGACCCAACTATTGTTACTCCCAAACAGTACAGAATTAGGTTTAGAGAGGCCATGGAGAGATATATTTTGGAAGTGCCTGATATTTGGTATGAGGGGAGTAAGTAAGTAAGCAAGCGACACTAGGGAGCGAAGCGAGCTAGTGGAGCAACATTTGGCAGTAAAGGAAAGCAAGCGACTCTAGGGAGCCAAGCGAGCTAGTGGAGCAACATTTGGCAGTAAAGGAAAGCAAACAAACGTTACATGAATGCGGAAGAATTAGGATAGTACTGAATATCGAAGAAGTAGAATAGTACTGAACATTGACTAGAGATGTCTTTCTCAACCTCTGAGTTACAACGGTCCCACTGCTTAATAGTAGTAGCAATGAATTTTCAACATTGTCAAATTAATGTTGAAGAATGATGGGTGTAACTTTATCAAGAACGCAAAAATGTCTTTTGTCGCTGCGACACCGACATTATCGAACGACATTAGTGAACGACACTATTGAGCGACACTATTGAGCGACACCGTGTGGCTTATAGCTTATACTGCTTTTTCGCCCGTTTCGGAGTTTGGTTTGGATCTTGTATATTAAATTCTATTTCTAGACTACAATTTATTAGATTTCAATTCTACTCCAATCTAGGTGGTTATTCTGCTCGATAGTGTAACACACGCGTTTCGTTTCTGTTGTAGCAATATAATATTCTCAAAATGACGCGTAAAAGTAAACCTACGTGTAGTAGTGTACTTTGTGTCAAATAGCTTTTTTAGAAAATCATGCCTTATCATTTTGGAGCCGTTTCTATAAAGAAATAGCCGCTGTGTTCTTTTTTTGTCACAAAAATAAAAACGAAAACACTATTTCTTAATTGCATTGTGAAATATTGAGCCACTTGATTGAATGAGGATGTTGGTTAGACTCAAAAGTTGAAGTTTTTCAAATCGTTAAAATGGCTTGATGAGCTCAAGTCAAGAGAACAAAAACGATTTGAAAATAGATAAGGTTGTAAATGTTTCAAACGTGTGTGAAGAGCCACACCCTGTCTCTTTGCTAAAGTTGTTGAATTAGAAACATTAGTTGGTTGTAGTTGAAGATTATGAGCCTTTGTAGATAGTGAAACGATGATTGAACGAGAAATAAGTTTAAAAAAAAAAAAAAAAAAATTTATATATGGAATAATATTAAATAATAAATAATTTATATATGGAATAATTTAAAATCTCTGTTGTATAAAATAATATTCAGAGAATTTTGATTTGAGAGGTGTACGCCTAATTTATCTGCCCACTTGATAATGAGCAGATAAATTATGAAAATAATGAAATTACAAAGAGCTTCTATTATAACAAGTTACACGATTTTTTTTTCTCAGATACCACTTGCTCTGATTAAAGCATATGTAGTTGGCTTCAACTAGTAAACTTGTGTAGGAATAAATCAATAAAATCCTTTAATCACTTGTAAGCAAACTAAACCACAAGTCACCTTAATCGCCAACTAAACCACAAGTCACCTTGATCGCAAACTAAACCACAAGTCACCTAATCGCAAACTATAATACACTATACATTAATCATAATAAAGATTAATATTGTATTTCCTTCTTTTTGTCTGTCTGTACATTTTTTATGTCTGTGATATTGACTGTCCCCTATTTTTTACGCGCGCCATAGACTTAATTTATACATTAAGCAGAATAATAGTGCACCTTTGATTCAGCCTTACGAGATTCCCAAATAAAAAATACAATTTGTATTTTTTGCACGACCTATACCACACACACTCACTCACACATACACACTGACACTCAAACTGACACACACACACACACAATCCGCCCGACACTTTTCCAACTAGAAGCAAATTTATATAGCCAAGTTTGTCGGCTCTACTCAACGAGGTTATATTAAGGACATTTTATCTGAAAGCAAGGCTTCTAATTGGTCAGACTTGCTATACGTTTAAGGAAAAAGAATTGTCCAATTCTCTTTCCCCTCAAGCCTTATAGCCTTATAGCCTCATAGCCTCATAGCCTCATAGCCTCATAGCCTCATAGCCTTATAGCCCTCGAGCCCTCAATTCGTGCCACCTATCTTGCTTACGTGCCACCTGATTTGCTTACGTGCCACTCCAATTCCCCTACGTGCCACTCCAATTCGCCTACGTGCCATTCCAATTCGCCTACGTGCCACTCCAATTCGCTTAGGTGCCACTCCAATTCGCTTAGGTGCCACTCCAATTCACCTACCAGCCGTTCGCCCTAGAATCTCGAGCCACAAGTTAGTAAACTATATATCACTGATAAAAGGATAGTCATAGAATTATAGAGACAAGACATTGGTTACAGAGCAATGGCATTCAGACTAAGTTTCAACACTATATCGTTCATATTGATATTGGTATCGTTTGTGTTCCTATTGCTATCTGTTATAAGTTCACCAGTTGTTACACAACTCAATGTAGGAAAAACTGCATCTCATACTTATGGAGTATTTGGGTATTGTTGGGATAATAACTCGCAGTGCTCTTCTGCTACGTATCCCCTACAGCTAAGCACAATTAGCGACTCAAGTACAAATTGGAAAATGAGCTCGGGATCAAGAGATATTTTGGCAAAGATTTTCATTATTACACCTATTGCCCTAGGTTTCAATTTCATCTTGTTGATGCTCATTATAGTGTCCCATTTCACCTCAAGAGGTATTGTATTGGTGGGTATTGGTATTAATATCATATCTGCAATATTGACTATAATCAGCTGTGTAGTTACTGTTTTGGCTTTTTACCCAAACTTAGCTTGGACTGGCTGGATTTTGATAGGATCTGCTGCTGCTAATTTAGTATCGTTTATTTTCCTAATACTCACCTTAACTATTATGGGTAATGACCTGGATGAAGACGAGGACTTTGATGAAGACGAGGCCGGATTTGGGAAATTCAGCAATTATAACAAATTGGATGATAAATTTAACCACATACAAACTTCAACTTCCAAAAATCCAAATAGTTCAAGCTCGATCGAGAATGATTATGAATACAAACCATATGGTGGTGGTGGTGGTGGGGGTGGAGTCAATAATGGAAACGGCTTTACTTCTAACCGTAACCCCAATCCTATCTCTGCTCCTAACAGTGAAAAGGTTTATGGCAAAACTAACACTTTTACATCAAATCCAACAGCTTACACCAACTACTCAACTTCAAATCCAAATATCAGTAATAATATGCAACCACAAGGTATAAGAAAAGCTAATGGTTCGTTCCATAGCAATTCTTCGTCATACTATGTTCAACCGCAATCTGTTCATGATTTCACCCAGGGGCAGACCGGTAGTCCTTCATTAGGTGGCAGTAGTTCTAATGTTGGCTATAAACCAGTTGGTTCCAGTTCCAGTACTCCAGGTTCTAATCTTTCTAATAACCCAGCAACAGCACCACAGCCGCCAGCAACTACAACTACAACTACAACTCCTTATCCGGCCATTGGTGATACTCCCCAAATGGAAACAAATACAGCATTTTCAAGGAGTGTGTTTGAACATCATCCGCAAGTTGAAGGCCATAAACCATTCACAGAGTTGGAAGACGATTTCGACGACGAGGAAGACTTGAATGCAGGTAGAAATAATGTCGCCGGTACTGGGAATGATTCAGATGAGGATTCAGATTTTACCAGTGTTTCTCAAAGAGCACCTAATCCTCAATATAACTACAACAGTGGATATGGTCAAGGAAGTTACTACCAGCAACAATATTCCAACATCCAACAATACCAACATATGAATCAAGTGCAACCACAAATGCTTCCACAAACGCAATTACAGCCCCATTTCCAACTCCAGCAATCATACAATAATGGTTCTAATGGTTATTTTGCACAAAATCAACCTCCAATACCACAACAACAAGTTGCGCAAATGTCTCACGCATCTCAACAAAGACCAACCATATCTGAAAACGCCTTGAATAGCAATCCAGACTTTAATTTCCAAAGAGGCACTCTACTACAACAAAAGAGAAGAGTAGCGCCCGGATTTGTCCCCGTTGCTGCTAGGTATAATGGTAATGCTGCTAAACCAGGAATGGGTGCAAATAATACTAATGCTCAAGCAAGCTCATTAATGGGGAGAAACGGTGGACCATACGGAGTGGCAAGGTGAGACTGAGAGGGTAAGAGAAAGAGAAAGAGAAAAGAGAGAAACATAGAGCCACTTTTAAAAAATTTCTTTTATTTCAAAATTCATTTCTCCATTGCTTGTTTTAATTCAGGTTGTTATTACTCTTTTCATCCTTTGTTTCTTGTTGGTTTTTGGCCTTGTTGATATGATAAAGTAATTTCATTCTCACTTTTTATTTGATTTTTGAAAATGGATAATATATAATCTATGTGTGTGGGTGTGTGTAGGTACTATTACTTCAATTAGAGCTGTATTGTTGAGTATCTACATCGACTGAGCTATGAGCCGTCATCCAAAGGCGCATCTGGATGGTTCACTTCATTAGTAGGTTTCTTGTCTTCAGGCTTTTCGGTTGGCTTTTCAATAATTTTAGTGTGACTACTTGGTCTCAAGATGAAAATCATCAACAATGCAAACACACATAGCACTAAGAAGAAAATAATCTTACACTTTGTAGTTCTCTTTTGATACGTGCGTGCTCTAATCAACTCCTTATCGGAACTTTGTAGATCCTGTACCGTTGAAGTTAAATTATAATCAATTCGATCTAAAATTGTACCTTGATCAATCACCATACTTTCCATCTCTTTAAAAATTGTAGAAATTTCCAATATGCCCATTGCTAGTTTGTTGATTTCTTTTTCTCTTTGTTCTAGATATGACATGTCTTGATTTTGTTGTTGCATTTGTGTTTGTGTTTGTAGAAGCTCTTTACTAAATTCCTCGGCTGTGGAAGTGGTGGCATTGTTAGCAACGTGCTGAGTCTTTTGCAACTGTTCGTTTCGTTTCTCGTTGATCAAGAGGTCAAACTCATCGTCATCATCCCTAAGGAAGTTCATATAGTTACTTTGCAAATTTCTAAAAACTATCAAGTGCTGTTGAATCTTATTTGCATAGTTTTTCTTCATATTGTTCAATACTTCCAAATCTTGCGCCAGATAGTCAATTTTCAACCTAGAGTAATTCTTTGCAAGATATTCAAACTTTTTGATTGCAATATAACATTTTTCGAAATTTTTCAAAATTTGATAATTGCTTTCTTCAATTTGGCTCTCAATCTCCTTTTTGGCTTGTGACTTGTTGATTATGATGAGCTGTTTATATAGCGATTGCAAATCTTGTGTTTGCTTCGAAATAACATTGAGGTGTATATCCAAATCTTTGGCAATTTCAAATTGCGTAGGTATTATTGGTTTCATTTCAATATCCTGTCTCAATTTCGATTTCGATTGCTGTTGGCGGTTTTGGTGCTTTCGTGAAGATAGAATTAGATTGTCTTGTTCCGATGTTAACATATCCTCATCTTCATTTCCTATTTCGTCCAGAAACGGGTTCCTGAGTCTGCTGTTTGGCTCATCTCGCGTTATAGTTCGACGATACGATAAAAACAATTTGGTTCTGTCTCTGAACATTTTTCTTGGGGCCTTAACTGGGTCAAAATTTATAGCTTATGTTTCCAATTTCTCAATTATCTTAACCTCCTGTTCACACCCTCTAAAGAGCAATGAAATATCAAACCCTGAAATCCAATTCTACTTGTCAAATTGGTGGGTCTAATTACCTCTCAATCATTTCTCCATGGTTCTCGGTACTGAAAAATGATTATTTTCTGTGCTACCAGATGTTCTTATATATTCACCTAAACATGAAAACCAGGTTGGATATATGTTGATAGAGACGGAGTTCCTGCTGCCAAAGGGGGTGGGCTTAGGGTTCAAAGGGAGTGGGCTTGGCTCATTTCTCAATAGAGGGTTCAAAGGGAGTAAAATACGGTGTCTCACTTTTTAAAATGTCACGTTTATTAATGCCAAAATTAAATAACCAATTTTTCTAAACTATCAATAGTGGTATCCTGAATCACCTCTGCTGCTTTGAAAGAAGCATCTTTATTGCCCATCAATGAAGTATCTTTTTCGTTTGAATCAGAACTAGACGTGGCCAGTTTGTCACCTTTCTCATTTTTGTCGTTGATAACTCCAGTAGTAGTATCTGTAACCTTCCTCTCATTGTCAGCTTCACCACTTTCCAACGGTTCCTCTAAATCAAGCTTCATACTATCTTCTCCATCTAATTCTTCCTCTAACTCTTCGTTCCCTAATTCTTCCTCTAACTCTTCGTTCCCTAATTCTTCCTCTAACTCTTCTTTCCCTAATTCTTCCTCTTCTAAATCTTCATCCTCATAATCTTCGTCATCCTCCTCGTCATCATCTTCCTCATCATCTTCCTCTTCCTCATCATAATCATCTTCATCATAGTCATCATCAGTATAATCATCATCATCCTCTTCTTCTTCTTCTTCTTCTTCATAATCTGTAAAGTCATCTTCATTTATGTTTCTAGATTTCTCCTTGTAAAAGTCTTCTTCTTCTTCTTCTTCTTCTTCTTCTTCCTCTTCTTCTTCATCTTCGTCTTTATTAACTTCCTCTTTTTTGCCAAATTTCATAAAGTTCTTAAGAGGAGAAGTAAAAGATGATGCTGATAGAGGTCTTTCTAATTCTGGCGACCTCATTGGGTTTTTTGTATTCTTGCCCTTCTGCAAAAGTTCTGGATTCTCAGTGTGGTCTTTCTTCTCGCTACTCGACCAATGCAGCAATTTGTCAGTTCGGTTTGTTTTCATGACTAACAATTCTTTTGAGTTTTTATCTTCATCACTGACGTCTAGATCGCTCGCGCTCAAGTCATCAAAGTTAAATGGCGTTTTCCAATAATTCACGTCATTGAAACGTTCATCAGTTTTAAACTCCTCCATGTAATTTCGTGGGGACCCAGGTGACCTGGGTGACCTGGGAGAGCCTAACATAGGTGGTGCATGTATAGATCCGATTGACCTCATATCACTGGAATCTCCAGCATCCTCATGGTTCTGCATGTACTCCGACCATTGAGCATTGTTCCAGTAAGCAGAAATTGACCCAACCTCTTTTATGGGTGGGAAAAAATGATCAACTAACTCACCTATACGAAGATATGAGGACTTGTAGCCAGCCAATTCCAAAAGTTCCATATGCACCTCACCATTTGGATTAATTGTGAATATTCGATGGCTTGGAATATGAACCGATCTATAACTGATTGCATCTGTAATCCTATTCCCAAAACCGGCATAGAAAGGGGTTTGCTTATCGTCGTCATCGAGCCCATCGGTATCTTTTTCAAAGTACAAGTTTCTGATATCCGATAAACAAGCCATTTTGAAAACTTCCGGTTTTTTCAAAACAACTTCCCTCTTCAAAGCAGCAAAGGTTCTATCGGGACTCAAAATCACAGGACCTATTGGTAACTTGACCCCATCTTGGCTTATTCCTTGCAAATACTGTCTTGTTGAATCTGATTGACCCAAAGATCGCGCAGTCAAGTATACTATATGATACCCATTCTGATGAATCTCCTGAAATAACTTTGCAACCCCAGGGTGTGTCCAATCTCTTCCAATGAGATTGAGAACATGTCCTAAAGCATCCGACTTTGTTATAGTACCATCGATATCAGAAATCACAATTGGCGTAGTAGACCTCCAAAGAAATAAGTTTGCATTGACTTGAGAGTTGCCCTCACGCGATTTGAATTTCAACGAGTTCACTCCGTAATGTAAATTCATTTCTAACAACTGTTGTGACGTTAATCTTAGCGTCTTGAAGTAAACCTTGTTGCTACTTGTCAGTGATGAAGTGTCCAATAATGTACCATTGCCATTGCCATTGCCATTGCCAGTACCAGGCATGCTATTCAGTGTGGTGGCAGCACTTGTGCTGGTGCTAATGCTAGGGCTGGGGCTGGGGCTAGTGTTAGTGCCAAGCGGCAGCAACACTCCATCGTCATCTTCAGCGATAGCATTGTTGTTGTTCATTTCAGATGCATTCGATATTCGTATATTACCATTCTCGTCTTTGGTGATGATCTGGTCCCATGCTTTTACTGAGCTATCTCCCTGGATGCCATGCTCGCCTTCGATTTCTTCCAAAAATATCTTTTTGAACAACTCTCCGGAATTATCAATGTTTTTCTGAGAATTCGCTTTATATCCATCCATATCAATAACCATATCACCATTCATATCTACTTTTGTTGGAATATTCAATTTCTTGGTTATTTTCCGAGCATTTTCCATTACAAACTTTGCCTTCTGAGAAGGACTTTTCGGGCTCGGTGTGTTACTCAACTTGGCTTTCTCATCCAAATCAAGATCGTCCGGTTCTTGGTCGCTAGTTGCAGGCGAACTTCCGGGAGAAGAAAGTGGCGATATAACAGGTGACGTCAAAACACTTTCAGACAACATAAGGTCCTCCTTGCTATCTACTTCAAATACAAAATGTGCTTCTCCTCCCTCTCCCAATTTCATAGGCAAGCGTGTATTGACATCATTGACATACAAGTCAATCTTTTTCTGAGAAGGTTTCGAAATCTGAAATAAGCCAAACCTAACATGCCATGGCGACGTATGAAGTGTTCCATCGGGATGTTCAATCACAATCACATCAATAGCTCCTGATAAAGTAGCAGGATTCAAAGAGTTCCACTGGTTATAAACATACCCTCCTACTTTCCCAACGTATTGCATCTTTCACTATTTGCCAGAAATTCACACAACTGGTTCTTATGGAAAATAAATCGCTGTTAAAAAGAGCCCATTCCATTGGTATATTTCATGTAAAATGCAACTTTTTCATCGTGGAGAAATTTCGTTTGGGGGGGGAGGGTGGTGGGTGCTACCAAATGGTAATTGCTATTGAAACAAACGGAAGGAAAGCAAATGAATCAAGAGTAATAGAGAGTATGCTACTACTACTACTAAGGGGGTCAGGCTATGTAATTTAACTTAATTATGTAAAATTGCGGGGTCCTTAAAGCTAGCGATGTTGCATTGATGCATTAATCTTCTTTCGTCTGCGCCATTATTTCCCAAACCTTTGAATTCACCAGTGACCGAGTGCCAAACGCCTCGATTAAAGAACAAAACCAAATCGCCCTGTTTCCAAGAATGTGCCAAAACTCTTTCTGGAGCAATTGCCGGTCTCATTAGTTTATGTACTTTCTCTCTCGACTCTTTCAAGTCCAACGTTTTAATGCTTCCGTCCTCATTTTTGGTATGAAGCTTGTATAAGCAACATCCATGCACTTGTAAATGATCTTCTTTTGTAACAGGGTTTGTCCAGACCATCGGCAACTTCTTCACCTTCAGCGCTTCCCATGGTGGCAACTCATCAAGCTTCAATTCCTTATCCTCCGAAACCATTGTTAACCCATCAGATGTGGCCTTAGCAGAGGATATGAAAATATAGGGATGAGGTGCATATTCCACTATTGTGTTCAACACAAACTCCTTGTCCTCATTGCTCAATCCTTGAAATGCTTGAGCTCCACTGACAAAGCATGTAGCTCCCTGTGTCAATTTCAACTCGAACTTGGACTTGGACTCGGACTCGGACTCGCTCCCGCCTGCTGCTTCGCCCTCATCTTCATATTTGATAGTTTGATAGTGTGTTGTAGGTGGAACTTTAATTCCAAGCAAACTGGTCACTACAGGCGGTGACAAGTCGTACAATGCACTATCAATGTGCCATCTGTAAAATCTTGTTTGTTTGCCCTCCTTGATTTGCTCGTTAGTCAATGGTGAATGGTGAAATGTTGTGTGAGAAGGATGCGTCAAGTTCAAAGCCTCGTCATTTTCGTTACCAGGTTCACCCACTTTGAAATGACCCTGGCCCAAAATTTGAACTTGTGGCTGAGATTTCACCGAACACCCGTCCTTGCGCAATACTGATTGTGTATGCCTAAACTCCTTCCCGTGTCCATATGCGGCGCCAGCTCCCCCAGTACCATCCTCATTTGGTTGCTCTGGAATTGTAGGGTCAAATCTCTTGGTTAAGATATATTGTGATTTAGGAGTCAATTCAGCTTGATCGGGAATAACAACAACCAAATATTTGTGAACGGCATCGTACAAGGCGGAGAAATCCTCGTTATTCAAATAGGCAGGATCGTTTTTGCAGTAACTGGGGAGACTCACAGAGCACCCAAAAGGTGCTTCATTCAAAGGAGTAACCACAAGCGAGTCCCTATGCATGAAAAAAATAAAACTAAACCTGTTATTAAAAAGCTACTGCTCAAAAGTTATTACCAAAAGGCTGCTGCTCAAAAGTTATTACCAAAAGGCTGCTGCTCAAAAGTTATTACTAAAAGGCTGCTGCTCAAAAGTTATTACCAAAAACCTACTGCTCAAAAGCTATTGCCTTACATTTGAGAAGTAACAAAAGGGTAATAGTCTGGAGAGTTTCCCCTTCTTTTATATGATATGGCGGAGAAACTGATAAGCGATGCTTTAAAGGGTTTTGTGGAAACACCCGAAAATCAAATGTCTTCCGTCGGAAGACCCGAAAGTCAATGCAAGGAGAAAACCTTTAGGGTAAGGACAGTAATAGCTACAAACTGTAACACCGATGGAGGTGGAGGATGAGAGTAATACTGTTTATTTACGACTAGTACATGTTCCGACACTAGCGAGCAAAGCAAGCTAGTCGAGAGGAGCAATGTAGAAGAGCAGTGGAGAGGAGCAATGTAGAAGAGCAGTAGAGAGGAGCAGTAGAGAAGAGCAGTGGAGAAGACAGCAGAGAGGAGCAGTGGAGAAGACCAGTGGAGGATTAGCAGGGGAGGTACTTTTTTACAACTAGTGCATGTAAAGGGCAATGCCGAAGGTGGCTCATTTACATCAAACATATGTTACATACGCATGGGTATGATTAAGCGATAGTGTTGGAGGCAGCTGGTGTTGCGCGATAGTTTCGGTGACAGCTAGTCAGTGTTGCTCCACTATCTCGCTTCGCTCGATTATATTAAGTGCTAGTATGCTCCACTATCTCGCTTCGCTCGATAGTGTCGATAGTGTCGATTATATTAAGAGCTAGTATGCTCCACTATCTCGCTTCGCTCGATAGTGTCGATAGTGTCGATTATATTAAGAGCTAGTATGCTCCACTATCTCGCTTCGCTCGATAGTGTCGATAGTGTCGAGTGACGATAGTGTTGATGCATTTGGTCTCTCAAGGTTCACTTTGAATATCTTTCTTTGGCGGCTAACAAGTGAAAAATTCAACGAAAAAAAAAAAAGGGTTTATCCGACAGACATTTTATGGAGATAACCAGTTTGGAGTAGTTAAATATGGGACACTATGTGACACTTGCTACGTGTAACTTGAATCAGTGGGCGCTAGATTTTGAAGGAAATCGAGACCGTATTGTGCAGAGTATACTTGAGGCCAAAAAACAAGGTGCAAAATTACGAGTTGGACCAGAATTGGAAATCTGCGGCTATGGATGTTTAGACCATTTTAGTGAAAACGACTTGTATCAGCATAGCTGGGAAGTTTATGGTGAAATATTGCAAAATAAAGAAACTCACGGTATTATTTTGGACATTGGAATTCCAGTAATCCACAAGTCAATAAAGTATAATTGCAGAATCATTTCCTATGATGGTAAGATCTTATTGATAAGACCCAAATTGTACTTGGCTAATGACGGGAATTACCGGGAGATGAGGTATTTCACTCCATGGAACAGGCCAAAGTACTTTGAGGATCACCAGTTGCCTTCACATATCAGCAAAATCACGGGACAATTGAGAGTAACGTTTGGAGATTGCATTATCGAAACGGCCGATACCAGATTAGGATGTGAAACATGTGAGGAATTGTTTACGCCTCAATCGCCTCATATAACCATGAGCTTGGATGGTGTTGAGATTTTTACCAATTCAAGTGGTTCTCATCACGAATTGAGAAAGTTGGATACTAGATTAGCTTTGATTACAGAAGCAACCAAGAGGTGTGGTGGAGTATATCTATATGCTAATCAAAGAGGGTGTGATGGTGACCGTCTTTACTATGACGGGTGTGCGTGTATTGTTGTTAATGGTGAGGTATTGGCACAAGGATCGCAATTTTCTTTGAAAGAAGTCGAGGTGATCTGTGCAACAGTTGATTTGGACGATGTGCGTTCACACAGAAACCAAAAGTCAGCAGGAACTCAAGCTAACAATCAATTGGAGAAGTATAAGGCCATATACTGCGATGTTCAATTATCACCAGATGTGTGCATGTATGATACTTCCATGACTCCTACAAAGCCAAAAGAGATTAAATATCATTTACCAGAGGAAGAAATTGCTTTTGGTCCAGCTTGTTGGTTGTGGGACTATTTGCGGAGATCAAAATGTGGAGGATATTTTTTACCCTTGAGTGGTGGGATAGACTCTTGTGCAACAGCGGTAATCGTGTACCTGATGTGTAAACTCGTTGTTGATTCCGATGAAGAACAAACTCTAAAAGATATACGAGCCTTGACTCACGATCCTCAATTCACTCCAAAAACTCCACAAGATGTGGCAAGCAAGTTATTCCATACATCTTTTATGGGTACCGAGAACTCGTCTGTTGAAACAAGAACTAGAGCAAAACATTTGGCTGAAAAAATTGGCTCGTTTCACGTAGATCTCAACATGGATAATCTTGTATCAGCAGTTGTGTCCCTATTTGAAGTTGCCACAGGAAAGAAGCCAATTTTCAAAATCTTTGGCGGCTCACAAACGGAAAACTTGGCGCTACAAAATATTCAAGCTCGGTTGCGTATGGTATTGAGTTACTTGTTTGCGCAATTGTTGCCCTGGACCAGAGGAAAGTCGGTCCCAGGGTTGTTGGTTTTGGGAAGCGCCAACGTTGATGAGTGCTTGCGTGGGTATCTTACTAAATACGATTGTTCTTCAGCTGATATTAACCCTATTGGAAGTATTTCGAAAACGGATTTGAAAAGGTTCATAGCATGGGCCGAAAAGAACTTTGAGATGCCAATTTTACATGAATTCCTCACTGCCACACCAACTGCAGAATTAGAGCCTATTACTAAGGATTATGTCCAAAGTGACGAAAGAGACATGGGAATGACATATGATGAACTCTCGAGATTTGGAAAGTTGAGAAAAATCGACAAGTGCGGTCCTTTGGCAATGTTTATCAAATTGTATCATGAATGGTCACAGCCACCTCACAATTTAACAGCAGAACAAGTTGCAGAGAAAGTAAAGAGATTTTGGTTTTTTTATGCCATCAACAGACATAAGATGACAACAATGACACCAGCATACCACGCCGAACAGTACTCGCCAGATGATAACAGATTTGACTTGCGGCCAATTTTAATCAACCCTAGATTCCCTTTTGCTAGTGCAAAGATTGACGAGATGGTTAAAATAATTAATAAAAGACAAAAGGAAATCGATGAAAGTAATTTAAGTGTAGACTAGATAACAAGAAATAGAGTTATGTATGTATGTTGCCACCCCATTTAGGTACAAACCCTAAATTGTCTTTCATGAATTTCTCTGGTGACGTTGTTTTTTGAATAAAATCAGTCACGCATTGAGCCACATGCACAGGCAAGTCTTCGTGAACAAAGTGGCCTGCCTTTTCGCTATTATTGAAAACAACCAACTGGTACTTTCCTTGCATCTGACCAATTATCAATGTCTTGTCTAGAGTTTCATGAGCTGACAAAATTAACAATTTAGCCCCCTTGAATAACAAAAAATTTTTTGAGAGACCACGAAACCAAGATTCCCAAAATGGCTCAGTTGAGCTTAAATCAGCTTTCCAGCTTAACGTAGTCAAATCCAACAAGTCGGGAACCGAAAGTTCTGCTGACACACGATTATTGAGTAAATGCCGCATATGCCACTGTATTGCCTCTCTTAGTGACGTAAATTTCAAGGGCATTCGAGAAATGAACTGCGGCATTGCACTTAACGACGACACGGCTGTTTCTTCCACTATATCCAACAAAATGAGTCCCTTTATCAAATCGTTTGGGTACTCCGTGGCGTACTTTGCAAAAACAGCACCACCTAGAGAGTGACCCAATAAGAATATTGACATGGGGCTATGCCTCTCAACGACATCCGAAATGACTTCCTTGACATCCAGTACTAACATGTCTAGTGAAAAATTCAAATCAACTTGTTGTGAATCACCATGGCCCCTCATATCAAATAAAAGTATACTTATCGAATCGTCGGTAAAGCTTCGTGATAGCTCGGCAAAGGTCATCGACGAGGAGCCTGCTCCATGATGACATACTAGCAATGCCCCGGGTTTCGTAGACGGTTTGAAATAAGTACAAATTTTCCGGTCCTCCATACATAGTATATTCCTAGTAAATGTTGTAGATTTGAATTCTCGATACCGATCAATCGTTTCTTGGTCTTCCCTGAAATACTTGTTGGTAGGTATATTAGCCACGGTTTCATTCTCCTCATCTTCCTCGTCTTCTATAACCAGCCGAAGTGTCGCATCTTGATCTTTGGTCCTCTTCAAAAATGCCTTGTACAAGTCAGACATTTTTGATGACTATGAGCTTATAAAAGAAGAGAAGAATACGAAACGAGAAAAATACATTGAGCCGGCGTTTGCAGTGGGAAAAAAACAAAGAAATGGCGCTAGTCTGGCGGCGGAAAAAAATAAATTCGACCGACTATGACGGCGGAAAACAATAAATTCGACCGACTATGACGGCGGAAAACAATGAGTTCGACCGATTATGGCGGTACATGAATTTGTTTTTTGTTTTTTTTCTTCTTTTTATCTCGCCTCATGATGAGATGAGGATACTTGGTTGAACTTGTATAGAGAGGTGGAGAGACTATGAGAAGACACTATGGAGGACCTTACACCTCATTTTAAGTTTATGGCAATTGCCCTATTTATAGGTTACAAGGCTCTTTTAAACAATGAAACTCCCGTAGCTTGTATAGTCACCAAGGGAACTCAGATAATTAGCATTGGTTATAATTATACGAATAATTCATTGAATGGTACTAAGCATGCCGAGTTTATTGCATTTAGTAGATTGGACAAGGACAAGGACAAGGACAAGAAAAATATTGATAATTGTCTCGATGACGATGTAGACTATGGAAAATTGACTTTATATGTAACGGTGGAGCCATGTATTATGTGCGCATCGTATCTACGCCAATTGGGTATTGGAAGAGTAATATATGGGTGCAGCAATGATAGATTTGGAGGTACAGGCACCATCTTGTCTGTTCATAAAGACTCTCGGCTACCGAATAGCCCATTCCAGAGTATTGGAGGCGTTTGTAGGACCGAAGCAATTCAGCTACTAAGAAACTTTTACATCCAGGAAAATGTCTCTGCTCCCGTGCCTAAAGTAAAGAAAAACATCAATATCGACGAAAAGGAGTTCCCACCGGTCGACACAAACTTGTTACAAGAACTGTTTCGCGCCCTTTATGGAGAACAACTGGCCCCTGTCAAAAAAAACCAGGAATTGACCCCTATCTATAACCAGGGCTATTGTATGTCATCTTTGCTCACCATGAAAGACCTTGAAACAGTTCCCTTTTTGCAAGAGGAATTGGGTAACATCACTGAAGCCCAATTGCAAGAGTTTTACACTTTGTTTTATGATATCGATCGCAATGGCCTCGTCGTATATGAAAAATCAATACAAAAGTACCAACTCAAGAGAAGAAAACTTGATGAAATGGGCATCGCCAGGGTGAAAAATTAGAGAGCAAAAAAAAAAAAAAAAAAAAAAAATATAATAGTATTGAGAATTGATTCTATATTAAAGGGGATTTACATTGCCCATAGTTCATAGTTCATATCCGCATAGTCCTTACGCACGCGCAGACGGATAGTTAAAGGGAGATAGGTAAAGAGAGAGGCATAATTGATGGACGACTCCGATGATGAGTTTATATCTGGAGACACTAGGTCACCTTCCTCGCGTCTATCCTCATCAGCTCCAGAATCTAATATTCCTGCGAGAGATGGGGTCTCAGGAAGAACAAGGTCGCGAGATGTGCGGAGTGGAGAGATTAGTGACTTAAAAAGAGAAAACGGTTATGCATGGGAGGACGAGTATCAAAGATCATGGGATATAGTTAAAGACGATAAGCTTGGAAGTGGCTCATTTGAGGCAATGGTCCAAACGATTATTGAAAACCGCAAAAAGAAGATTATGAAAAGTTTGAGCACCCCTTTTCAAAGAGGTATTATACGGACTTTGGTGATTGTTATCGATGGGTCACTACCGATGGCCGAGAAAGACTTGAGACCAACAAGACTCTCATTAACTTTAAACTATCTCCAAGAGTTTGTTGTGGAGTTTTTCGACCAAAATCCAATTTCACAAATCGGGCTTATCTTAACGAGAAATGGCATTGCACATCTAATTAGCGAGGTCAGTGGACTGCCGCAGTATCATATTGATAAATTAAGGCAATTGAAAGCACGTCAACATAACAAATATGAACCAAAAGGCGATCCATCACTACAAAATTCGTTGGAGATGGCCCGATCGTTGTTGAAATTCAACTTTGGTACGACATCAAACAATACGAAAAACTCAAAAGAAATACTAGTTGTGTTTGGGTCATTGTCTACTAGTGACCCTGGGAATATACATAAAACAATTGAAGGATTAGTGAAAGATGACATCAAAGTGAGGGTCATTGGATTATCGGCACAAGTGGCAATATGTCAAGAACTTGTAAATAAAACCAACCACGAACCAAGAAACACCATGTCCAAACACTATGGAGTTATCATGAACGAGTTTCACTTTAAAGAACTACTAATGGATTGTGTCACCCCTTTGCCATTAACTGAAAACGTCGAGCAAAATGCAGATGATGTCGAGGGAGTACCGGTGATAAAAATGGGATTCCCTTCCAAAATACAACCAACGTTGACTTCCAGTATTGGAAGCACGGATTTCATAGTTGAGTTCCCGCAGTTAAATGCCTCACATCCGTCACAAGGTTCTGAAGAAATAAGGGACACCGTCGAAGTCAACAACAATAACTTACCCCACGCTTCCTCTTCAATTGTTGGTTATCAGTGCCCACAATGTAAAAGCAAAGTATGTAATCTACCTACAATTTGCCCAGTTTGTGGTTTGATGTTGATTCTATCAACCCATTTGGCAAGATCTTACCATCACTTGGTCCCGTTGGCACCATTTAAAGAGGTTCCTGTAAGCTCATCATATTCGAGCGAGTATTGCTATGGATGTCAGCTAAAATTTCCAAGTGGAATCGAGCTGGACCCAGCAAAGGAAACTATTGCCACAATGACCAGCTCCCGTTATAGTTGCCCAAAATGCAATCAAGATTATTGTATAAATTGTGACGCTTTTGTTCACGAAGTCTTGCATAACTGTCCTGGTTGCGAAAACAAAGGTGTTTGAAAGGGAAAAGAAAACAGTTAATATACGTTGTTACCTTAGATAATAATACAGAGAAAGAAAAAAAAAAAAAAGAAAAATGTTTGATTCTTGCTCTAAACTGTAAAACTGGTCAAGTAAAAAATTCAAGCTCTCAGCTACCCCAGCTACTACTGTTACCTTTTTTATTGCTGCTACCTGAGTTTCCCCCCCAAGTAGAGCTATTACCTGCTCCTCCCCAGGCAGATCCATTTCCTCTGGCAGCACCTCCCCATGAACTATTACCCTTGTTTCCACTATTACCACTACCTCCTCCTCCCCAAGTAGACCCACTGCCTCTGCCAGTGCTACCCCAAGTGGAACCTGCTCCGCTTTTGGTATTTCCCCAAGCAGAAGCTCCTCCTGTAGCATTCCAGGTTGACGCAGCTCCTCCTCCTCCTCCTCCTCCATTCCACGATGAACTACCTCCCCATGTTGAACCACTACTTCCATATGCGGGCGTTTTGCCGCCTCCAGCATTCCAAGCTGAAGCACCGCCTTTGTTCCATGTAGAGGCAGCACCCTCGGCGCTAACAGCTGGAGTTGCGCCTCCATTCCAAGCAGACCTGTCTCCTGGAGTACTCATTGTAGGGCCGCCACTGAACGGTTTCGAAAAAGAACCTGGTTGCTCGGCACTTCCACCAATAAAGACCAAGTAAGGGATCGCCTCACCCCTGATCAAGACCAGCAAGTCTTTCTTTAGCACCTTGACTTTTTTGCTCTTAGTATGAAGTTCCACTCTCGCGTACAAATCATCGGCTTCAGAAACTTTTCCCTTGAGTCCTTTATAGCTTCCCACTCTAATTGCGACATCTTTGTACAATAGTTTATCTCTTCCGCCAACACGAGTTTTAAGACCTTGCAACGCAAATGAATCGGCAGGTTTTATATTTGGATTCATACTGGTAAGGTCGGGGCCAAAACTTTTCGAAACCATTGAATCCTTCGTCGCAACAGTGTTGACTGCCATTCTATTGGCTACAAATATACCCAAGTTTTCAATTATCTCATTGGACTTTATGAATAATGTGTTTTTGTAAATATGCAAAATGGCACCTTCCCTACCTTTGTCACCCGTAGCCTCCTTCACTGTGTCACCTACTTTAATTGTAAAGCCATTTTTATCGGTGGCAATCTGCTCACGACGACTTTGATTCAATTTTGAAGCAATGGCAGAGGGCCTCACATCAATCAATCTTCCATCAGATGTGAGAACTTCAAAGATATTCTTTTCTGCCTTGACAATAACACCCACCGTCGTGGCACTTAGCTCAACAAGATCTTTGATATCGTATTTGGAGTTTGCATAGTCAACACTTTTGTCCACGGTAGAAGAGGCATCCGTGGCCTTGACTAGATAGTTGGCAAATACCTTGACATCTTCCTTTGTTTGATCGCTAACGAGTAACACCGAGTCACCATCAATTTTTATTATCAATCCAGTCTCATCAAAATGTTTTCCTTCAACTATACGAACATGGTCACCCTCACTGAATATCTTCCGCAAATCAGTTGCAGGAACAGTCAAGTTTTGATTTACAAACTTTGGATCACCACTATTAGTAACCCTTATCTTTATTTCATTTAACGATGCTTCAACCACAATGCCAATTGTTTTGGCCTGTTCCCCTCGGCGAATTTCCACTTTGTCACCGGGTTGAAACGGAGTAGACTGTCTGCTTTCCCCCAAACTTTTATTTTTGAATGAGCTAACAATCTTTTGCAAATCCAAACCTTCGTTTTCGCTTCCCGCTTGGAATTTCTCAAGCTCTCCAAGTGACGGTTGCACATCTTGTGTTTGGATATACTGTAATTTAAAGTCTTTATATAAATAACCGTCAACATACTCGTCTCCCTTGTAAGTGTACAGTCTGGACCCCTTCTGCTGCAAGTTGAGACTATCGAACATCTTTGCCGCTTGTGCATCAAATCGTTGGGGAGGTGGTCTAATCCTCAGTTTGATCACTTTCCCATCTGGTCCAATCTCATCGTTCCTACCATAGTCAAGACGAGGAACAACTTTACACCGCACATCCAACCCATTCTCCGATAGATTATCCACTACGGCAAGGTCCCCCTTATACTTCCCCCTCGCAATTCTAACATAAACACCTGGTTTAAGCTCAACATCCGAAGATTTAACTTGCTTCAATAAATCTGGGTACTCCTTAACAGAAACCAATAACTTATCTCTACCATAGATATTCACCATACCTTGTAGGGCTTTATCAATGGCATCCGGCCTTTTGGCTTCTATATAAACATATCCCCGAAATGAGTCTCTTTGAAATACTGTCAATATATCCAAGGGCATCCTTTGTCTTTCCAAAGTTCTTTTTTTCTCATATAGTTTCCTCACCACCTCTTTTTCCTTGCCTGGTGTACACCTTATTGCATAAATTGCCGGATCATTAATAGATGGCATCAATAACTTTTGCGAGACTACTCCATTAGCTGCAGATTCGCCTCGGTAGGCCTGATGACTCTTTTTATACCTTTCTTTAAGTCTTTCGGCTATTTGCTCAGCATCCTGGTCTTCTTCCTCTTGACGACGACGATCGTATTGTCGGTGCAATCGATCATCCTCATGTTGTGGCCCGCTATCTTCGTGAACATGATCGTCGCTGATAAACTGTTCTCGTAAAATCTCTGCTTCTTCGTCGTCCTCCTCGGCGTCGTCTTCTTCCTCATCGTCCACCTCAGCTTCAATATCGAAAAATTGGTTGGCCCCTCTTTTTCTCTTTCTTCTTCGTCCAGATACTTCTTCGTCCTCCTCCATACTATCTTCGTCCTCCTCCTCCTCCTCATCATCATCATCATCCTCATCATCATTACCACCATCACCACCACCATTATCTCTTTTTCCTTCCTCTCCTTCAACTTCCCCTTCTACCTCTCTGTCATTGTTCCTTCCATCTCTAGCTTCACTAGTTTCTTCACCTTCACCTTCCTCCTCCTCCTCCTCCTCCTCCTCGTCATCATCTTCCCTAGGTCTCTTATTCGGATTCCGTTGATCCTCAATTGCTTTTCTCAACTCCTCATCAAATTCCTGCTTGATATTCGTGCTGGACATGACGTATGGATAATAAAAATGAGATAAGAAGATACCTATTGGTAATAATCAAACTATCTTTCCACTCATTTGGTAAAAAAAAAAAAAAAAAAAGGGGGTCGTGTGTGTTGGTACACATTATATATATATATATATATCTACTCATCAACATATACATGAACAAGATACCTCAATAGCTTTCCAACGGCTAGTATATGCCATGGAACCATTGAAGAGACCTCGCACTCGCCAGGTTTTGTTTCTTCGTAGGCTCTATTGATATCTCTTGTGCCTAATACATCGTTCAATACTATCAAGTTTTTATATTGTTCAATTAATTGTTTCATCAAGACATCCAAGTCCCAATAATTGGAACAACTAACCAAATTGATTTCGAATGCCAAAAAAATGGTGGCAGCTTGTAATGTTTGGGGTTTGCATTCCCTAACTAGAAAACCAACTTTCATGCCAAGACGATTGGGAGAACTTGCCGATGGCAATTTCACCTTTGGTATGACCCCGTAGATTTCTTCATCGGATTCTCTCATTATCAGATCTGAGTCAAACAAATGAGTACCTGAACTTCCGGGCAAGTTCCCATTTGGACCGGGAGTAAGATATTCTTGAGGCGAAAGGAAATTGGAGGGCGCATTCAAAAACTGTTGAGGCGAATGAAACGACAATGCATTTGGAGACGTTCCCAAGATTGATTCGGCACTCACGGTAATAGGTGAGTTGGCACTTCCATATGTAAAATTTTTAAAGCTAAAAAACTGCTCCTTCTCTTGTGTGTTTGGAGAAATTTCTTCATTGTCTGAGTTTTGCAAAATTGGTGGTCCAGATGAAAACATTACATTTGGCGTTTGGCTAGTTGAAAGGACTATCAAAGACACATCTTTGTACCTCATGCTTAGCCTTTTCCAGTGTACTAGCTCGTCATCGGGAATATTACCACTGACTCTAGTCAAAACCAAAAATTTCTTGGCAACGGGTGATCCTATTTTATCATTGAGATTGTTCAAAGTTGCAAAGAATTCCGTCGATATATTCCACATATCATCGGCAATACTCCCAATATCCATGTGATATGTTCCTCCAGTGGATCTATTATCTGAAGAAGGTGGCGATGACGATGACGACGATGACAACTTGGTACTACTAGTTGGCGAGCGGTGCTGCTCAGAGCAATACCACGCTTTCGTATATGTAATCTGGCCTAGCGGGTCAGACCACGCAGCTGCAAACCATGACTTGTCAATAGACCTTTCATAAGCCAAATGCACAAAACTATCATCACTATTGTTACTGTTTTTGTAACCACTATTGACAAACTTGAAATGTATTCTTGAAGGCGGCTGTTTCACCAAAGGTGCGTAAATTGAAGTTGACAATGTCTTTTTACTAAAATTCTCTGGGCACTCGTTGTACAAATTCATAGAAATCCTTGATAGCATGTAGTTACTGAGCACTTTCAAGCTGGTTTCCTCTCCAACTTTTCTCACTAGATATTTGGACGAAATTATCTTGGTGAATACTTGTACCAAAGGTAATTGATGGACTATCAAGGCAACTTTGAAGTTTCTCAAAACTTTACAAAGTTGTAGCGTCGAATTGAAACCTTCATCAAAGTTGATTATGAGTAGCAAAAGCGGACGATCAAACTCAAAATTATTTGTTTTATTTATCAAATCCAACTTTATCAATTCCACAAATGACATTAGTCTTTTGTTCATTTGACTATAAAACTCATGGCGTTTGTGATGATTCTGATCAAAGTTCACGAGTGCAACACCGTTGTGCACAGGATCTAAATCAGGTCGTGTCTCGACTGTTGACAAGCTTAGTTTCGAAATCTCTCCAAGGTTGCAATCTTTGTAGTTATTGACAAGCTTTTCTGTGAAATCAGAAACATAAAAACCTGTATTTCCTATACTAGTCTCGCCAATCAGCAATATCTGAAAGTTCTTTGCGTTGTTTGAAGGAGCAAAATTCAAATACTTCCAAAATTTGAGCCCTATTGTGTTGATGTTTATGATTTGTTTGTTTTTCTCGACTCTGCTCTTTACCGAGTGAGTTTTGAAAAAGCTCTTGTCTAAATTTCTAGATTCAGTACCCAACTTCTTAATCAACTCTCGATATCTCTCAAATTTTTTAATATTGGCTAGTCCACCATCAAGTAGGTTCCAAGTAGTACGGTCAAATACTTCTGCTGCCTGGCTCTTGGAATCGTCAAGATTATTATTTTCATCCACCAACTCTCCTAAAAAGTTCAACTGATTTTCAAAAGAGTTTGTTTTTAGTGAATCAAAATCATTTAAAAATTCTAAAAACGGAACTTGGTAACACATAGGGAAAACACTTTGAAGAATCCCCGCAAATTGACCAGTCAAATTTATATGTTCAGATTCATTTTGCAGATCATCATTGTTTGCTTTTTCCTGGGAGACAAACTTTGAACGCAAATCGACTTCCATCCCTAAGTCGTAGACAATGTTCGGTACCAAGCAACTCAAAAGTTCCTGAATGTGACTTGCTTTAACAATCAACTCTTCATTAACTGCTTCCAAGTCATTTTCCCCCTCATCTTCATTTACGGAGAATGATGGCACCGGTTTGTCGCAAACCAAGTTGTTCATAAGAAAACAATTGGGAATAGATGACAAGTAAACGCTCCTTAATATCAATGGTAGATAATTTAACGATTCGTTTACCTTATTCTGAAAACCTGCTGTGTTTTTTGTCTCAAACCCGGAACTGTTCAATTGAGAAGGTTGTTGTTGCTGTTGCTGTTGCTGTTGCTGTTGTTGTTGTTGTTGTTGTTGTTGTTGTTGTTGTTGTTGCATTTGTTGCGAAACATCGTTATATGAAGGTGATATTGATGTTATTTCTGTTGGAAGAAAAGGTGAGTCTGACTTTAAAATGAGCCTGCTAGCTGAATTGTTAGCCGGAGAACCAAAGAAAGCCGAATTCACTGAAGATACAATACCGCCACCATTACCATGCATAGACGCTGGGAATTGCATTTCGAATTCAGGATTTGCTGTAATAGATCCTGAGATATGATGAACATTGGGGTCGTTGTCATTCATTTTCAACAAAAACGATTCGTTCTGTATTTCATCTGCATCTACGTCACTCTCTTCACTGCTACTGCTGCTGCTGCTGCTGCTACTACTACCGCTTATGCTGTTTTTATTATTACTGAGATGTGGATCGTCATTTCTTCTTCGATTCGTCTCTCCTTTCAAATGCAGTTTTTCTCCTCCATTTGTGTTTAAATCACGTCCAGTAGGGAATGGCTTCGGAGTACTAGGAATCTCTGGCTCTCTTTCCATATAAAACTTACCCCCTTTTCCATATTTGAGGTCAATGTCCTTTTTGATTATTGGATTGAATGGTATTGGAGAGAATACGGATTTGTGCAGATTTCTACGCTTTCCGTTATGGGTCTCTTTTGCTGCAAACTCAGAAGCATAGTCTCCTGAAGAAGAGGTAAAAAATGTTGTGCTTGTTGAATGGGAAATCAGTGGTGTTGCATTCGTGGGTGCGGGGGCTCCAGGATCCTCATAATCTGGATTGTCAAGCTTGGATATCGTCATTCGATCTTTCAACTCTTCAATGTAGGAAAGTTTATTATCATGCACTCTGCCATTACTTTCCAAGACTTTAGTTGCAGATGCGCTAAAGTCCAGTTCAGTTTTATGTCTTTGCGGCGTTACATTGTTGGAGCCCTCCTCAAATAAATCAGTGATATCTTGTGCATCCTCTTGAGCTATTTTTTCTTTGGCCTCTTCCACTTCCGACTTCTCGTGCATATAGTGGTCTTCTTTGTCGTCACCAACACTATCACCATCACCATCACCATCACCATCACCATCACCATCACCATCACCATCACCATCACCATCAACATTATCATCAACATTATCATCGTCATCATCATCGTCATCGTCATCGTGGCTGTTGTCTCCAAATAACTCGTCATCGTCATCGTGGCTGTTGTCTCCAAATAACTCGTCAACGTCCATATCGTCATTGGACTCTTTTTCTTCAACAATATCTGATGCAGATTTCGAAAATATATTTCCTGCAACATGAAGGTCAAAGTTGTCTACACCCATGGGAGTAGTGATGTTAAAATCCATAGAATTGATATCTCTTGGGGCGTCTGTTGCATTTTCATTTGAAGGGGCACTCACGATGGGAAAAGAGTCATCACCATAATGCAGTTGATTTGATGGTTGTTCATCGAATTGTTCTTCTAGCTGCTGTTGCTGTTGCTGCCGCTGCTGCTGCTGCTGTAGCATTAGTAGTTGCTGTTGTCTTTCAAGTTCAGCATTGCGGCTGATATTAAAGTCCAAATATTCCAAGAGCAAATTCATTGGATTGGAAGACTTTGGCGGTGATTGAGTCAATCTTGGTTTGATCTCGTGGTGTCCAAACTGTAATAGACATAAGCTCCAGGGCCATAGTATGTACTTTGTGTTTTCCACTGAATGTATAAATTTAGATATGCGGGAGGTCAGATTATTCAAGTGTTTCAAGTTTGGTATTAGCTTAACCCACAATGAACTTTTCAAAAACTCGGTATGGGTACTGGACTCGAGTAGTTTCAAAAGTTTTTCACTATCAAACTGGGGTTTTTCGACAAAGTTATTCTTTAGATTTTCGGAATCAAATAAATGACACCTTATTCCACTTGGTAAGATGTATATCACAAAGTTTAAATCTTTTACTGTCTCTTGTGGATACAACAACAAGGAGCTGAAAAGTGTTAGCGACTTGCGATAGATACAAGATAGTAACAAATCACCATTTTCGAGTAAAAAAGGGTCGATGGTGATGGGAGTATATGTTATATTGTCGTGAGTTACGACACAATGGCTCCCAAAGAGCCTTATCTGGCCTTGCAAAGATAGATTATACAAAACCATTTTCTTCACTGCCTTCAAGAAGCTCAAGCTGGCAAACGACAAATATTTATCGCTATTATTGCGTGTTTTTGCCGGGTTTGCAAAATACTCGACTTTTGCCGAGTCCTTATGCTGTAGTGTCAAGTTGTCATGCTCATGCTCCAAACTTGACCTCGAGCTCGAGCTTGAGCTCAACTCATCTGAAGAAACATCTAATTCAAAGTAGTACAAATTTTTGTTATAGTATGTCAACAAAGTTTTAGGACTCTTGTGCCGTATATTGAGTTCCAATTCAAGCAATGCTTGATCGTTATTGTCACAATTTGTACTTGAAAAGACATAAAATCGGATTTCTTGCAAATGGCCAATTTTAAAGTAGTTTGTTTCAATATTCAAAAGTTCCTTTGCTAGCATCTTTCCATCTTCATAACCTTTCTCCCCTTGCTCTAAAGTTCCAAAGAGAAAAAAGACAAATGTCAAGCTCAATAAAGAGCAGACAAATATCTGCTAGTTTTTTTGACTAACTTTGTTAGAGCAGGTCAGCTTGCCTGTTGGGGGAATGGGTAGCGCTTGCTTCACCGACACTATCGAGCGACACTATCGAGCGACACTATTGAGCGAAGCGAGATAGTGGAGCAACACCAACACTATTGAGCCAAGCGAGATAGTGGAGTAACACCAACACTATTGTGCGACACTAGTATTGAGCGAAGCGAGATAGTGGAGCAACACCAACACTATTGAGCCAAGCGAGATAGTGGAGTAACACTAGTATCGAGCTTAGCGAGATAGTGGAGTAACACTAGTATCGAGCCTAGCGAGATAGTGGAGTAATGCTTGTATCGAGCCAAGCGAGATAGTGGAGTAACGCTTGTATCGAGCCAAGCGAGATAGTGGAGCAGCACTTTAGTTCCTTGTTGCAACCCCGAGAGTCAATATTAGCTTGTAAATTGTACATGATGTTAAGTACTCACTGTAAATTCTATTAATATCGAGCGACACTATCGAGCGACACTATAGAGCAGAGCGAGATAGTGGAGCAGCACCAACACTATAGAGCAGAGCGAGATAGTGGAGCAGCACCAACACTATAGAGCAGAGCGAGATAGTGGAGCAGCACCAACACTATAGAGCAGAGCGAGATAGTGGAGCAGCACCAACACTATAGAGCAGAGCGAGATAGTGGAGCAGCACCAACACTATAGAGCAGAGCGAGATAGTGGAGCAATACTAGCAATACTATCTCTATTATCGACACTATCTCGCTTCTCTCGATAGTGTCGCTCGATAGTGCCGCCGATAGTAGAGTAGAGAGCACTCGAATACTCCCTATCAGAGTACTTTTATAAAGCACATTTTATTATTTTGATTGATACTAAAGTACTTTTTAGTAGAGCAATTTCTACTACTATCATCTACTAGAACACTTTATAGAGCACTTTTATCGAGCACTTTTATAGAGCACTTTTATAGTACTACTGCTAGACTTTTTACCATCTCGTTCCTCGATAGTAGATAGAGCTGAGGAGAATCTACTATCTCGTTCCTCGACAGTAGGTAGAGCTGAGGAGAATCTAGTATCTCGCTTCGCTCGATAGAAGATTATAGAGTACTACTGCTAAACTTTCTACCATCTCGCTTCGCTCAATGGTAGGTAGAGCTGAGGAGAATCTAGTATCTCGCTTCGCTCGATAGAAGATTATAGAGTACTACTGCTAACTCTCTACCATCTCGCTTCGCTCGATGGTAGGTAGAGCTGAGGAGAATCTACCATCTCGCTTCGCTCGATGGTAGAACCATTTTTTTTTTCTCTCTTCTAGTCGATACTATAAGACTAGAATAAAGTTTTCTACAATCTCGCTACGCTCGATTGTAGTCGATTGTAGTCGATAGTAGTCGATAGTAGTAGTATCATGCATTTAAGACTACTCCCTTTAGTGGTGTCTGTTTTCTCCTTTATCAATTACCTATACCAAACACCATTGACCCAGATCCATCTCCTCAATGGAGAACTCATAGTTGGAAAGGACTCAAAACAGCAGCTTTTGGGTGTCGACATTATAGAAGATGAGTTGAAATGGAGAATCAGTAACACCATTACAGAAAATCACCAATTGTTATTCACTAATAGTATAGTTTATGGATATAGAGAGGATGTGCAGGAGATTATTCAAATTGATGTAAATGGGAGTACCTCCGTATATGATGTTGAGTTCTACCCGAAACAACTCTTTGGCTGTTATGGAGGAGTAGTTGCGTGGGATGGCAACACCGTCTACTATATAAACAATAGAACCCATATAATCCAATCAGATGTGGAACACGTACTAGTGGACAACCATAGAGGAGAAATCCTCATCCTCATGAGCAATAAACACAACCATAAATATAATCTTCACAAAGTATTTAGTAATCAGCAGCTAGGCTTGGTAACTTCTTCTATTAAACAGTTCAAGTCTGGGATAGTGGTCACTGAGAATGACCAGGTGTTCAAGCTTGATAAGAAAGGGTTTACTAGAGTTGAGAATGATGAGTTTAGTAATTTGGTTGTGGTCAATGAGAATTATCTACTCTCTAATGAAAGATTACTTCATATTGGAAAGAGTGTAAAGTTGGTGATCAGTTTAGGGGACGGCCGTTTACTTTCCACTCCACTAAACACGTTTTTGGTCACCTCCACAGTAGTATTCGACTTGACTGATTTTTTGCACACCCATAACACCAATAGTATTAGGAAGATCACACTAGACACAAACTCAAATGCGTACCCATTTGAGTTTATTGTGAAGGGAGAGCAATTATGTCTCTTGCGTCTTGGGGCAGACCTTAGAGGAGAGATGTTTAGTTATGATGGGACGAGGAAAAGTGTAGGCCCTACACGGCCACAACTATCAAGTAGTCAATACCTTCTTGTCGATAAGCCAAAGCACCACCACCAAATCTCTAGTGGTGCCTCAAACAGAGCGTTTAGGCATATTCAAGAGCTAGCTTCGCTAGCTCATGGATGGCATGGAAAGTTTAGTCGGGCTCCCGACTTTTCCAAGATGATTGTGATGTATGATTCTAGGATGTTGGGAATTAGCACTGAGGGGGAGGTGGTATGGGAGGCGCCGGTTGAAGGAGAGTTTCTCTGTGAAAGACAAGTAGGAGATAAGATTGTGTCTCTTTTCAAGGATTATGTTTACGAGATGGACTTTGAGGGGATGAAGAGGTATGCGAATGAGGGATATATCGGGGTGGTGCCTATGGGAGAGGAGTATGCACTAGAAAGCGAAACGCACTTTTCAGTACATAGAGCATTAGAGGAGGATGTGTTTTTTAGAAAGGTCACTGAAAGTGACCTTTCAGGCCATATGATTCCAAAGGGGTCTCTAAAGTCTATCAAGACATGGACGTTTGATGTGAATGAGAAAATAGTGGCAGTATCCAACACAACAGAGAACAATATGATATCTTTTCTCACATATGAGGACCAGTTAAAGTTGTATGTGATTGATGGGATTAGTGGGGAGTTGCTACACACACATACCCATGGGGAGGATATTGATCCAGATTCTATAAATCTTTTGCAGGATGATAGGATAGTGTACACGTACTTTACAAAACCAGCAGAGCAGAGGATTGTCATAATTAACATCGAAGAAGAAAAGCAAAGTTTTTCTTCTTCTTCATTTATTTACCCTGAGAGGATCCTCCTTATCCAGTCTACACAGACAAACTGGGGAATTACGTTAAAGTCTGTGATTGCGTTTACAGAGCTGGGTGCATTGGTCCAAATACCATTAAACCAAGAGCATCCTATTGTGAGAGCTCTTCCTATAAATGGCCCGTACCAGCTCAACTATGACCCTTCCAATGTTGGTGTGATTTTGACTGCTCCCTCTCCATATGAGAGCACATGTGTAGTATGTTTCCTCAATGAGCAGAACCAGTTCTGCTCTATAGTCCAGCCAAGCGGCTCGTTTGATCTATTGGGGAAGTTTGAGAAGGTCAAGTTGGTGGTGACACTAGTTGTGTTGATAGCAATCTACCTTGCAACGAAGCCATATGTAAGAAGTAAGAAAGCGACACTATCGAGCAGAGCGAGATAGTGGAGCACACTGACTATATCGACACTATAGGGCTTTAAGAGGAGATAAACTGGTTATAAAACTGGTGTGATGACTAGACCATCTAGCTCTTATCCACGTAGCTTATCAAAAAAGAAAAAAAAAAAAAGAAAAAAGAATAAAGAAAAGAAGAAGTAAGTGGAGCACACTGGCTCTGCCGAGTAGCCTCTACTGATCTGGTCCTACTAAGTAAGCTCTGTTGTGTAGTCTATGTTGTGTAGTCTCTGTTGAGTGGCCTCCGTTGATACTACATACTGCTCCACTAGCTCGCTTCGCTCCCTAGTGTCGCTGAGTTGTCTCTACTGTCTCTCTATGCCAAAGATGTAATTGATAATTCGGGTTAATTACGTAATCTCAGGGCCCCTCACTTAACCGTTGCTGACGCGGGGCAAAAGTATAAAATTGCTACAAACCGTAGCAAACGTTGGCTTGAACCCACCACCACTTAATTGAAAAGCTATTGTGTTTTGTTTACCATGTCACTGTACGGATTTGTTAAGATTGAGAGGGACGTTAAGAAAGCCATACCTGATCCAAAAGAACCCTCACCTCAAACCAATACTGAGTTGCCTCAAACGGACTTATCTCAATTTGTACTTCAATATGCCAAAGACAAATTGCCAGCAAAGGTTCTTAATCATTCATTAAGGGTCTTTTTGTACAGTAGGGCCATAATCAAAGACCATTTCCCAGAATGGGACCTTGATCCTGAGATTATCCTTGTTACCAGTTTATTGCATGACATTGGTACTACAAAAGAGAATATGCACAATACCAAGATGTCATTTGAGTTTTACGGTGGTTTGTTATCACGCGAGTTGGTTTTAGAGCAAACAAGAGATAAGGATTATGCAGACGCGGTAAGCGAAGCGATAATCAGACACCAGGATTTGGGAGAATCAGGTTTTATTACCAGATTGGGATTGATTCTACAAGTAGCTACAATTTTAGACAATGTTGGCTTAAACACTCATTTGATCCATAAAGACTCATTGGATGCTGCTAATAAGAAGTACCCTCGTGATGGTTGGTTAAATTGTTTTGCAGAGGCTATTGATAATGAGAACAAGTTGAAACCATGGGGTCACACTAGTGCCTTGGGTGTGGAAGAGTTTAGGAACAATGTTTTGAATAATAAGGTAAAGTATGAGAAGTTATAACCACTAAAGAGCCAGCCAAAGATTGTCCTGGTCGAAGTAAAGAAGCTCATGCTATTATTTATTGCTCTTCATCCATTTGGTTACCTCTCTCAATAGGAGAGAGTGTGTGAGAGAGAGTGAGAAAAAAAAAAAACTGATTGATTTGATTGAATAAATTTTGTTAGTATTAGAAATCAACCAGTATTTTTCGTATAGTTCAATATAAATTATGTCAGAACAAGACAAAGCTCGTATGTTTCTTTCGAAAAGGGTGCGTGGGAATTGTATAACTAACGAATCCGAACCTGCGGTTTTCCTGGCATATGTGCTCATTCGTGTTTGAAACGCGCATGGAAAATCCAGGGCATACTTTTCTTCTTTTTAGCTGTATTAAAAGCCTCCGATCTAGCAGAGGACATACAGGTTAAAGTGTTTGAGTTAGCTGACCAGGCGGTCAAAAATTATACTGTTGAAAAGGATATTGCTGCATTTTTGAAAAAAGAGCTAGATCAGACGTATGGCGCAACATGGCATGTCATAGTGGGGAAGAGTTTTGGAAGTTACGTTACTCATGAGCAAGGTTACTTTATCTACTTCTATATCGGAGAATTGGCGTTTTTGGTTTTCAAAAGTGGATGAATCTCTCATTCAGTGTATTGATTCATACATCCTGTCTAATAAATAATTATACGTTAGAACTAACTAACTAATTAACTAGATGATCAACCAGTTTATCATCAACCTCGCCTTCGACTCCGCTTGATTTAACTCTTTAACTGTTCCTCTTGTCCCGCAAACAATGTAAAAACCGGTGCATGTAACCTGTTTCTTCCTTTCAAAAAATCCAACTCCATTACAAACAAAAACTCGACAATGTTAGCACCAGCTTTTTGAGCCAATTCGCCAGCACCAAACGCAGAGCCACCAGTAGCCAAAATATCGTCAACGATTAAAACATTGGCGCCTTCTGGGATAATATGCTTTTGCATTTCAAAAACATCAGACCCGTACTCTTTTTGAAATTCAACTTTATAAGTTGGTCCTGGCAATTTTCCCGGTTTGCGTACTGGTATAAAACCAGCATTTAAGGCTAAGGCCAACGTTGGACCAAACAAAAACCCTCTGCTTTCTAACCCAATAACATAATCCACTTTTGTGTCCCCAACGTGTAATTTGAATGCCGTGATCAATTTATTAAATAAACCTGGATCCTGAAATATGGGTAAAAAATCTTCAAAAAGAACACCTTTCTCAGGGAAATTGGGGAATTGCTTCAAATGCGACTTCAACTCCTTAGCTAAGCTGTTTATTTGAATCACTCTGTTAGACATGGTTTCACTACTCACTAATAAAGATCTAATGGGCCTTCTTTATATTATAAAAGGGAAGCAGGAGGTAGAAGTCCGTGAGATTTCAATCAAGAATCGTCATCTCATATCTCTCATCTCGTTTTTCCATTCAACAATGTCGTCAAAATGTCTTATTTTTGTCCCCGACATTTTGACGCGTCGGTGAAATTTTGATTAAATCCTTTTTTGTAAACACAGATGCTTTGAAGGAAGGAAGTTGAAACATATTCAATCTGCAATCCTAGTGTTTTCCCAAAGCAGCTTGTTTCTTGCTCCTTCTTTTTTTTTTTTTCTTTTCTTGTTGGAGGAATAGGTTAGGGGGTAGGGTATCAGTGAACAATGGAATCTCCAGAATCTATTAAAAAGTACCTTCCAAGAAGGAATCCAGTTTCCGAAGCGCCGAGCCCAAATTTAGGAGCCTCTCCAACTACGATGGATGATATGCTGATGTTTGTAAAGCTGAAGGCCAAAGCCAGTATGGAACTGTTTGAAAATGAAAATGCTTATGATTTGACCCCTAGTGCACCGGCAGCGAAACCGCCACAATCAAAGGTAAAACATGAAGTCAACAATAATCTGCTGCCTCTTCTGGAACGCAATTACAATTACATCCACTCCCAACAACTGCAGTGGCGCCCTCAACTTCTGCCCTTTAATAAGGATGAGCATTATCGCCTGCTTCTGAATTCTCCAAGCAAAAACTACAAAGATCGTATGAACAACTTGAGATCATCCAAGACTTCGCCTGCAAAGGTTAGACTAAAGTCGAGCTCGGTAGATCAAGATAGATATCTCACATTACAAACAGAATTGGGGAACCTCAAGCAAGAATGTGCCAAAAGGAAAAAAGACTTTGAGAAAATGCAAAGCAATTACGAGGATAAACTACAAGTTTGTGAACATGAGCTACAGCAAGAAAGAAAGCAAGTATCTAAACTCCGAGGCGAGTTGAGTAGAAAGAGTTTGCAAGCAGATGACTTGGAATCGGAAAAGGAGAGCTTGGGATTGCAAAACGAAAAGTTGAAACTCGAAAAAACGGCTTTGAGGGAGAGCAAGGAAAAGTTGGAGAAGAGCAATCGGAAATTGGAGGAAAACCGATTAGAGTTGGTTGCTAAATTAATACAGTATGTAGAAAGACTAGAGTATTGCAAGAAGAATCACAGCTCACGGATAAAAGTGCCGGCAAAGAAGGGGAACAAGACCAAGGACGTCGTTGTATCAAAACTAGAGAAAGAAGTGCCTATTGCAGAGGAGAAAGAAGTACCTATTGCAGAGAAGAATGAAGAAGTAGTTGCGTCACCCCCCACTAGCTCTTCTAGCTCACCCAAGTCTCCCAGCTCCGCCAGCTTATTTCAAAAGCAATCTTTATCTAAGTTGATGAATTTAATGCAACTTGAGTCGCCGAAACTAGACGATGACTTCAAAAATCTAATCAAAATGCTTTTAGAGAACTTGAACTTGTATTTGAGGAAAAACACTGGACAAGTTGAAGTAGTAGAGTATAAGCACGAGTCTGGGCAAAAAGATAATGCTGAGAACCAATCTCGAGAAGAAAGCACGAAAAATGGAGATATTGAATTGCAAGAATACGTGAAGGAGAAACAAGAAACAAACAAATCCAAAAAGAGCGTTTCGGCACTGACGCAAACTACTAGTACGCTGCCCAAAATTCAAGTTGTGGTGAGTTTTTCTGGCCAAGAGGCGCATCATACACCTCACAATTTTGAGTCTGACAATACAAATGCCAAAGAGGACGAAAGAGTTTCCGAAAAATGCATTGGACTGGCTTCGATGAAAGTTAAAGGCTTGACCCCTCAAATTGTTTGCGAAACGCTACTTCAGCCAAATTTGTTAAATCAGCAACAGCATGTTGGCGCTAATCAGAATGTTGATTCCAAAGACCCAAATAAAAGCAGAAAAGACACAGATTTTGGTGAAGAAGAGAGTTGTACCCCAAAAGCACTGCATTTTACCAAAAAGCAAGATTTTTCTAGTCAAACAACAGCACATGGCGGGCCATATTTTGAAAATTCTTCAATCATTGAATCAAAGAATAAACTCGAGAGGTTTCCTACCCAATCATTTACTTATCAAACAACACGAACGTCTTCTCAAAAGGAACCCAAATCTTTGCAAAAGGAACCCAAATCCTTGCAAAAGGAACCCAAATCCTTGCAAAAGGAATCCAAATCCTTGCAAAAGGAATCCAAATCCTTGCAAAAGGAATCCAAATCCTTGCAAAAGGAACTGTTGAGAAACCAAGAAGAAGTTTACTATTTAGGAACAAAAGGCTGCTGCGACAAGGAAACCAATGTACGAACAAACCTGACGATCGCTAGCGGTATACTTGAAACAGGGCATGTAAAAAAGAATGAAGGTGGCTCTGACAAAGGTAGATTTGTATTTGAAGAGAAAGCAGATGTTAAATTTTTTCCTATAAATGATGACCATGAGGACTTGATACCTAAGAAATGCACTGTGTGTTTTGAAAAAGAGGAAAATACAGATTCAAACTTTGGCATTCATTACCTACCGCAGTTCTCTTAAGCGGTTACATCAATCATAACATATCATAACATATCATAACATAATATAATATAACAGTTATAACAATTATTAAATTTATGTATTAATTGAGCATCTACTTTAACTTGATGCATTCTGTAGGATCATCTCTATCCAAGACAAAAACTGAGTACTGAGTACTGCTAGCTTAATTCATCAATGTTACTATTGGCTTAACTCCCCCCCCCCCCTTCCC